ATTCTATACCCAGTAAAACTGTCCTTTATTGAAAAAATGAAATAAATCATTTTAAGAGAAAACACTGAAAGAACTTACCACAAGCTGCCCTACACCAAAGGCGGAAAAAAGAAGAAAAATAATTACAGGTGGGAGCAGAAATGCAGAAAGGACAAAAATAGCAACGGGAGGAATAAACACAGGGGTAACTCTAAGTTAATATTGTATAAAACAGCAATGATACCATCCTATTGGATTTACAATACATGCTATTTCAAAATATGATAGGTCATAAAGCTCTTTACATTATCTTTAATGTAGTAAAATTACAATTGTATACTAGATATTTATGTCAAGAATGCACTATGAGACCTCTAGGGTAATGTCTGAAAAAATTTAAATATACTTTATTGACTATGCGATTACAGTTGTCCCGATTTTTCCCCTTTTGCCCCCTTCTGTCTGGTACCCCCATTCCCTACAGCAACTCCCCCGCCCCCACCGTTAGTTCATGTCCATGGGTTGTATATATAAGTTCTTTGGCTTCTCCATTTCCTGTACTATTCTTAACATTCCCCTGTCTGTTTCGTACCTACCAATTACGCTTCTTAATCCCTGCACATTTCCCCGCAGCTTCCCCCTTCCCCGTCCCAACTGATAACCCTCCAAATGATCTCCCTGTCTATGATTCTGTTCCTGTTCTGGTTGTTTGCTTTTCTAGTTTCAGTTATTGATAGTTGTAAATTTGTTGCCATTTCAATGTTCATAGTTTTGATCTTCTTTTTCTTAAATAACTCCCTTTAACATTTCATGTAATAAGGACTTGGTGATGATGAACTCTTTTAGCTTTACCTTGTCTGGGAAACACTTTATCTACCCTTCCATTCTAAGTGATAGCTTTGCTGGATAGAGTAATCTAGGTTGTAGGTCTTTGCTTTTCATCACTTTGAATACTTCTTGCCAGTCCCTTCTAGCCTGCAAATCTTCTTTTGAGAAATCAACTGACAGTCTTATGGGAACTGCTTTGTAGGTAACTGTCTGTTTTTCTCTCACTGCTTTTTAAGATTCTCTCTTTATCCCTAACCTTTGGCATTTTAGTTATGATGTGTCTTGGTGTGGTCCTCTTTGGGTCCAACTTGTTTGGGACTCTCTGTGCTTCCTGGACTTGTATGTATTTCCTTCACCAAATTGGGGAAGTTTTCTTTTATTATTTCTTCAAATAAATTTTCAATTTCTTGCTCTTCCTCTTCTCCTTCTGGCATCCCTGTGATTCAGATGTTTGTGTGTTTGGAGATGTCCCAGAGGCACCTTATACCGTCCTCGTTTTTTTAAAATTCTTTCTTCTTCTTGATGTTCTGGTTGAATGCTTATTTTTTCCTTATGTTCCAAATTGTTGGTTTGAATCCTGGCTTCATCCCCTCTACTGTTGGTTCCCTGTAGATTTTTCTTTATTTCACTAGTATAAATTTCATTTCTTCCTTTATGTTGTTGTACTCAATGAGTTCTTTGAGCATCCTGATCACCAGTGTTTTGAACTCTGCATCTGATAGGTTGGCTATTTCAGTTTTGCTTAGTTCTTTTTCTGGATTTTGTTCTGTTCTTTCATTTGGGCCATATTTCTTGGTCTCCTCAACTTGGCAGCTTCCTTATGTTTGTTTCTGTGCATTAGGTACAGCTGTTTTACTTCCTGTCTTAGTAGTGTGGCCTATCATAGAAAAGGCACCAGTCTGGATGAATGTGGCTTCTTTAAATGCTTGGCTGTCAGAATTCAATACAGCTCAATTTTCTGACAATTCTGGGTGTTATTTGTTGTGAGGTCTGGTTGTAATTTTTTCTGTAGTTGTGCAAGGAGGCGAAGCATGTTCACCTACGACTCCATCTTGATCGGAAGTCCTGAAAGTATCTTTTTCTGATGACAATAAGATGAAACCCAACTTTTCCTAAACACTTAATAGACTTTTCCAGGTGCCTCTGCACCAGCAGCTGCAGCCACCATCCAGCCACGTGACCACAGGGCTCTAAGACGCCACACCCCACTGCGCACCATGGTGCCCCTGGGAAAAAAAAATAAGACTGAATAATTTAGAGGATTATGGAATATCTCAAAAGTAGGCAAGAAAGTAGAACTAAAGGAACACTGAACAAGAAGAAAAAATATATAAAATAAATAGTAAAGAATATGGAAATATATAAAATAAATGGTAAAGTGGTAGAGTGTGAAAATTAATAAAGGGAAACCTCACTAAAATGGAGTTGGGAGGCCAGAAGGGGGAGCTCCGGCGCAGTACCACTCCCTGTCAGTTACAGGATGAATTGTCAATTACAGGCTAAAGAAGCCTCCATGAAAAAATCATCAGTCGTAAGTACATTGCTTCTCTTACAAAAAAATCCGTTACTCCAGCAGCTCTGCCAATGAGAAACCGTCATCTCCCTGAACTCTTATTTTTTCCCAGTGGACTCTCTTTCAAAACAACCTCTCCCAACTTCTTGATTTTTCTCCATAAAAAAATGTTCTCCTTTGTTTTTTGTATTTGTCTGTGACTTTTACTATAGTTTGCTTGTCCCGAATTGCAGTTCTTTGCTATTCCTGAATAAACCCATTTTGCAGGTAAAATAACTGTTTTGTTTTTAAAGTAAAAAATGTAAATACAGCCCTGGCTGGCATTGCTCAATGGGTTGAGTGCTGGCCCATGAACCAAAGGGTCCCGGTTGGATTCCCAGTCAGGGCACATACCTGCGTTGTGGGCCAGGTCCCCAGCTGGGGGCGCGTGAGAGGCAACCACATATTGATGTCCTCTCCCTCTTTCTCCCTCCCTTCCCCCTTCTAAAAATAAATAAATAAAATATTTTTAAAAATGTAAATACAATTATATCAGTAATTACATTAAATACGAATGGATTGACTCCAATTCAAAGACAAAGTTTGTGAGACAGGATTTTAAAATTTCCATTATAGTGCTTACTAGAGGCACGATTTAAATATAATGATACCAAAAAATGGAAGGCGAAAACCTTACAATAAGTTAAACCATAAAAATACTAATTTTAGAAAAACCTGGTATGTTTGTGTACCAATGTTCATAGCAGCATAATTCACAATAGCCAAAAGGTAAAACAACCCTCAGGTTCATAGATGGATGAATGGATAAACAATGTAATATTATTATTCAGCCATAAAAAGGAATGGACTACCACTCTGACTAGTTAGGCGTCACTCCACAAACCAAGAGGTTGGCAGTTCGATTCCCCATCAGGGAAAAAAGGAATGGGCTACTAATACATGCTACAACATAGATGAACCTTGAAAACACTATGTTAAATGTATCGACCTGGAAAGTCAATGCACCTGTTGAGAAGTGACTGCACCTGTTGAGAAGGGCTTCCGGTGGCTCCTATTTATATGCTAAATATAAATTGCTAAACATGAACCTCTCACACAAGCCACCCTTCAGGGAGAAGCCAGCACCAAACTGCCAGCCTGCACCGTGTTCCTGCCCTGCACCAACCCTTATAAAGCAGTTCCCAGAATTGCATTTCAGCCAGAGGACTGAGTCTGCCCTTCTCCAATCACACCTGTGCAGCTGTATCCATATTAGCATCTCCACTAACCAATTAGAGCAGCCCCACTCTGACCAATCAGGGCAGTGCTTTTTGGACCAATTAAATTGTGAGGATTTGGAGTCCTCATTTGCATGAGAGTAGGCCAATCAGGGACCAGGAGCCGAGCCTTCTAGCTATATAAGCCAGCTCGGAGGTAGAATAGTTTCTTTTTCCACCCAAGATTCCAGGCTGTGTTTCTCAGGGAGACTAACCTGCGGGGAGCTGCCCAGGGTGGAGTGGAGCAGGTAGAGTGGCCTGGAGTGGCACAGAAAGCGCGCCTTACCGGACGGCTGCTTTGCACCCATGCTCTTCCATAAATCTGCCCCCGAAATTGGGGATCCCTGTTGGAGTTGAAGGGGTGCCAATGACCATTGGTTCACAGGTGAGATAAGCCAGACGTGAAAGGACAAAAATGGTATGATTCCACTTCTATGAGGTATGAAGAACAGTCAAATTCATAGCAGTGAGAAGTAGAGGTTGTCAGGGGCTGAGGGGGATGGGAAGGAAATGGGGAGTTGGGGTTTAATGAATACAGAATTTTAGTTTGGAAGATGAACAGGCAGAGCACAGAGCGTTTTTAGGGAGTGGAAACACTCTGTAGGACGTTACAATGATATATGTGTCATTCCACATTTGTCCAAAGCCATGGAACATGCAACACCAAGAGTAAACCCTAAAGTAAACCATGGACTTTGGGTGGTTATGATGTGTCAATATAGGTTCATCTCTGGCAAAAAAAAAAAAAAAAAAAAAAAAACTCCACCAAAAAACAGCATTTTGATGAGTGATGTTGGTAATGGGGGGGAGGCTATGCGTGTGTCTTTATCTAAAGTTTTTAAAACTAAAATTGTTTTGATATTAGAGCCAAGCGAGGTGCGTCAGGGTGCCCGTTAGGCCATCTGTTCCCCCGATAAAGTCTGAGCAGCTCAGCCGCGAAGGGACTTCGCTGGTGGCTTCTCAAATGAAATCCATGGAAAAGGTCTGCCCGCAGGGCATTTAGTGTACAAATACCTAAAGTTGGGGGAGGACACACCCCGGGTGTTCCGGGGGCGGGTTCCGAGCCTGCGAACGTGCGGCCGGCGGAGGAGACCGCGAGGGTCAAAGGCCGGGAGGCAGGCGCTGGACGTCCCGGTCCTCCCAGGACCAGGAGCGTCTTGGGAAGGTGCAAATGTGTCCTGGGCAGGCTCGGACCCTGTGCTCCGAGGGGTCGCGCCCTGCGCGGGGGGCAGGGGCACGGCTCCCAGGGTCCTCCTCTCGCCTTCTGCTTCTCCGCTGGGCTCCTTAACGCGCCCACTTTGATAGGGGGCCCTGGAAGCAGGTGCGGGAGGCCTGCGCAGGCCGCACCTCTGCCCTGCATCCCTCCTGGGGAGGGGGAATTTTTTGTTTGTTTTTGGTTTATTGGATTATTCTTGTTCGTACAGTCCCAGCGCTCTTGTCCGCCGCTCTGCGACCGTCCCGCACCTGGAATGAGCGGCTCCTTGCGCTGCGCCCGCAGCCGGTGCCGCTGAAATGGTGAGTGTGCCCTCCCGGCTGTTGCCCAGGCCCGGGGCGGGGCGGGCGTGGGAGCAGCTGCCGGCCACGGCCCTCCTCCGTCGGAGGGAGGGAGGAGGGGAAGCCAGCAGCCGCCCACTCGGTGAGCTCCGAGTTCATCCTTCACCGGACGCGCGGGCAGGGGCTGCTGCAACCTTGCAAAACGCCCCCGACCCTGGGGGCCCTGCGAGTGCAGCGGCTGCGGGGGTCGGAGTTAGCGGAACCCGCAAGCGCGTTCAAGCGCTGGAGTCGGTGGTAGGAGGGGGAGCTGGACAATTCAGGCGGTCAGAAAGGCTGCCAGACGCGTCCTTCTGGAGGAAGGGCTTTGAGGTTCGAGTTTGGTCCCGTCAAGGGAAGAAACATTCGAGCCTGTGGAGGATTTTTGTGTTTATTTGAGCCAAACTGACAACAGTTGCCCGGAAGCAAAACCTCAAGGAGGTGAGATAGTGCTCCGGAGAAGGACAGTTTTGCACCTTATTTTACACGTTACCAAAAAAAAAAGAAAGAAAGAAAAAGGAAGTTACAAGAAATCCACCAGTGATACATCAGGCGGGCGGGGAGGAAGCAAAGTGGGGAAAACTCTAGGATTGAATGAAAAGTCAAATGATAGGCACATCTTTTACTAGGCAGGTACCAGATAGGATCAGTCAATAAGTAACACAATAACTGTAACAAGGAGGGGATGTGGTCTTGAAGCCCGAAAAGCTGGTGTTCCGCTGCCTGTCACCTACCAGACCCTGTGAGCAGGGACAGGGATTGAATCTTTGTGGCTGCTTTGTTCAGATGGCCAGTGAACAGCCTGTCTTACATGCCATTTTAAACTGACCGTTTCTGTAAGGAGAAGAAAAGTGTAGGTAAGGGGTTTGGAATTCAGGGGAAAAGTTAATCAGATAAAAGCTGCAGCTTCTTTCATCTGTGCGCTGGGCGGTGGTCTTTAGCTGGGTCCTGTGCGCTGGGCGCCTCACCCCGGGGCACAGCGGCTCGGACGCCATCTTGACCTCCCCAGGCACAAAGGTGGGAACGCCTGTGGTCTCCTGGAGCCAGCGCGAGTCATACCTTCAGTTCTGAAACAACAGCTTTTTACGCACACCGACTACTGAGCGTGTTAGCAATGACCTGAAACTAAAACTTTCCCGTGTTGGAGTCCCCTCATCCCTGTCCCCCTGGTGTGGTGCCTGCACTTTCAGGGGTGCGAGAGAAGGGAATAGGACACCCTGAAGCTACCTTATCTTAGATGCAAAAAGACAGCAGACAGGCTCAGTTAAGGTAAAGACTGACCCACGCGTGAGGGGGAAGTGCCGGCCTAGGACCCGACTACCCACCGTTGACCTGCTTGCAGTTAAAACGTTTTTAACCTCACACCCTCCTATGTGGCAACCTCAGGCCTCTGAGTTTGTGAGGCCGCTGCGCAGGCCTCCCCGGAGGGGTCAGCTGTCGCTGTGGCCCCCTTCCTTCCCTTCCGCAGTCCAACGGGCCCATTCTTCCCTTCGGTGAACTGAGAACGCGCGGTGGGGGTGGGGGGGGGAGTTTATAAAAGGACAAGTTTGAAGGGGGGGGTGTCATCTGCCAGATGTCTTGTCCTTCTACCTGCCGACCTCAGCTGCCCGGGCACTAGGACTCCTCCTTCCTTTGCTCCCCACTGTCCTGCGCTAATGCGCCTGAGACGGCCGGGATGAAACGTGATGGCGCCGCCTGGAGACGGCACCCAGAGGAGCCCGCCAGACGGGGAGGGTGCGGGCCACTCAGGACAGAAGTGGGGGAAAGTGCCGAGAGGCTCGGGCGGGTCCCTGCCCTGGGCTTATCGCCCCCAGCCGGCTGTTTCCTTGGAAACCACAAACTCACAATAGCTGTGGAATGCTGCACCCAAGCCGCTTATCTGAAACTCTGCTTCTGTATCGGTGACTGAGATGCCCCAGGCAAGAGTCGCAAGTTCCTTTGTTACTGATTTGATGTCAAAGAGCCACGTTTTAGGTAGGTATTTGGGCAGACAGAATAGGAAGAATATTCTCAGAGCCTGTTGGGATGCCTGACAGGCCTTTATTCAAGGCAGGGAGGGGGCGATCCTCCTCGCAGGCTGCGTGCCCCCTGCATGGGGCTGCCCAGCTCCCTTGTATATTAAATATAGACAAAGCCGGCAGGGTGCCAACAGATACTCTGCAACAGAGCTCCGTTCTACTGTTCTACGCCTGCGAGCCCGCTCAAGGCTATGGGAACAGCTTATCGGACCCAGTCCCGAGGCTCTGAGAATGCTGCTTATCAGGCTCCTTCTCAAGGCCGTGGGAAACTGTTCCCCTACTTGCCCAGACCTCTGGGTGAGGAAGCCAGACTGCCTCCTTTTACCCTGCGGTAGGCTGTGACTTTTAGAGAACAAGGTTCCTCAGTGACTTAAAACAGTAAATAAGAGAGAAGGGGAAAAAAAAGTTTCTGACTTTGCAGCCCGTGTCCTCAGCGCCTGACATCTCCACCTGATACGTTGCAGGGTAAAGCCATATTCTCTACCCATAGCTCATTGTGTCCCCAAGCATCTAATAACTGAGTCTCATGTTTCTTTTTCTTTTTTTCTTAAGATTTTATTTATTTTTAGAGGGGTGGGGAAGAGAAGGAGAAACAGAACATCAATATGTAGTTGCCTCTCACATGCCTCCCACCAGGGACCTGGCCTTCAACCCAGGCATGTGTCCTGACTGGGAATTGAACTGACGACCCTTTGGTTCACAAGCCGGCGCTCAATCCACTGAGCCACACCAGCCAGGGTGGAGTGTCACATTTCTTTTTGTTTTGTGAAAACCTGAGTTGATGAGAGCTCCACAGTAGTAATTACTAGGGGACTCTTCAGACCCAACATACATATTTGAATTTTTAGATACCAAAAAATTGGTTGTGTATTTCTCAAGAAATGGAATGGGCATATTTAAGATGTAGGAACACTGTTCCAACCAGAAGAACACAGGTTGGTTGTGTCCCCTAGGAAATTCTGAAATGACAAGGCCATTTTAGCTGTGTTAACAAACAAAACTGAATCGAGTATATTGAAAGATCTAATTAAGCCCCTTATGGATCGGGCAGCATCCGATCTAGCCCCTGGAAGGGCGCTCTGAGGGGCCACACAAAACGGGAGGTTTTTATGGGAGCAGGGCAGGGCAAGGGGGCTAACAGCCAAAGAAAGGGTCACTTAGGGACTGAGTCACCTTGTCTTGGGGGAGGGGAAATGGGAAGTGTTTTTATTAACATTCTCAGACTTGAAGGGAAAAAAAAAAAATTCCACACTGGTTGGTTAGGATTATGTGTCTGGGAAGGGTTAAAACTGAAGTTAGGGCAGGTCTGAAACCTAAGCCTGGTGTCACGGGCGTGGAGCACACCTTTCTGGGGCTGTGGTTTTTTCTGTCAGACGGAAGAGAAGACTTCAAAGTGTAAAGTCAAACTCATCATATGAGTTATAAATCAATGGAGTTACCTAATTGGGATCTGCATTTTGTTTAATTTATTTTTTAAAGATTATTTACTTTTCGAGAGAGGGGAAGGGAGGGAGAAAGAGAAACAGCGACATGCAAGACAAACATCGATCAGTTGCAGTTGCCTCTCACGCGCCCCCAGCCAGGGATCTGGCCCACAACCCAGGCCTGTGCCCTGACTGGGAATCGAACCGTCAGTCTTTCGGTTCAAAGGCTGGCACTCAATCCACTGAGCCATACCAGCCAGGGCTATTTTTTTAAAAGATATGTAATAGATCAATGTGTTTTTTAAAAAAAAGGGATATGATTAGGGCAAACCCTGAAGTCCTTCCTCCATTCTGCATTAGCACACCCTGCTCTTGGCTTCCGGCCGCCTGGCAGTAACCACTTTAATAGATCCTTACATATCTTTTCAAGACTCCTTTCCCTCATGAAAGTGAGTTTGTTGTACGCTCCTCTATAGCAAATATAAGGGGTTCTCGTAGATTTTAAAAGGCTTAAGTGATTGAATACACATGTAGATCTTGCTTTGGAAATGGACTAGGTATTTCATTCTATAAAAGCAGACTGCTAGCATTGCTCAGCGTGAAAATACTGTGATTACATTTTTCAAAGACTCCTCCTGCTCTAGGAATATATAACAACAGCGTTTAAGAATGAAATGCCAGGCTATCTCGAGGACATGGGAGTGGGCCGTGTGTGGGAGCTGGGGGAATGATGGGCCAGGCCTTGCTTGTATTTCCCTCTCATTATATAGGGCATTTGACACGTTCCATCATTGAACTTCAATGTTAAAGAGCTCTTTTTGAGTTCCTGAGCTTTTTAAAGCATGGATTGGCTGCATGGCAGAATAAACATAATAAACTCTTGTTGTTTTGTAAAAACAAAAGATGTTTTTAAGAGATGGCCTTGCCCTGGCTGATGTGGCTCACTGGATTGAGTGCCAAGCTGCAAACCAAAGGGTCGCTGGTTCCATTCCCAATCAGGACACATGCCTGGGTTGAAGGCCAGGTCTCCAGAAGGGGGTGCACGAGAGGCAACCACTCGTTGATGTTTCTCTTCCTCTTTCTCCCTCCCTTTCCCCTCTCTAAAATTAAATAAAATCTTTAAAAAAGAGAGAGATGGCCTTGTTTTCTTAAATCCTCACCCCAGGATATGTTTTATTGATTCGAGAGAAAGAAACATCAATCAGTTGCTTCCCGTACGTGCCCTGACCAGGGATCTAACCTGCAACCTTGTGGTGTACGGAGACAGTGCTCCAAGCAACTGAGCCACCCCACCAGGGCTAAATATAATAGTTTTAAACCAAGTTTGCTTAACGTATGATGGTATGAGAAATTTTATAAAGACAAAAGTACATTAAACTTACACAAGTTGAATTTTTCTTTTTTTCTTCAAGTCAACTTTTAAAATAATATAATCAACACATAGGTCCTCAGATTAAGGAATCAGCTATTTGCATGGGTGTAAAAAATAAACAAAATTCATAACACCCCCGGCCAGAGTGCGGATTTCACGTTTCTACCAAAAATATCTTTTAGAGCTAGATTTCTTTCGAGCAGGGCGCTAACACATGGCATAAATGGGGTTTCTCTTTCAGGTCACAGAGCCTCGCTGGGACTTGCCTCCCTTTGGTGGTCCCAGCTGCAGGTCTGTGTGGGTGGAGGCCAGACCCGTGGCACAATGAGATTGCGCGGATGGTTTTTGCAGTGCTGCCTCTCAGGCGATGAGGCGTCATATAAACAGAACGGCTCCTGCTATTATGTGAAACATCGCTGTGTCTCAGCGCCCATGAATGTTTGTTTCTGGATCAGTTAATTTATTTGGGTTGCAAAGTGCTGGGTTTTCAGTGCAATCATCCCTCTGGGTTTTTAGCTAGAGTTCTTTCGAGTTTCTCTGTTGACCAAGTTTCAGAGTGAGGACGAAGCTACCTCCCGTGGTGAGAAATGCTTGCCTGTTCCCCTTCCACTCTCCCTTTCTGGGTATTCTGAGTTCGTGTGCTTTTAGTATTCGGTGTGTTTCAACCAACTGAGATATTTGAAATTGGGCCATTCCAAGGCTCTGGCCTTGGCCCCTACCTTCTCTCTCTCTTTTTTCTTTTAATACATTTATTTTTAGCAGGGGAGGGAAGGAGAAAGAGAGGGTGAGAAACATCTATCAGTTGACACTTGCACGCCCCCACCCTGGGACCTGACCCCAGCCCAGGCATGTGCCCTGACTGGGAATCAAACTGGCAAACTTTCAGTTTACAGAATGATGCCCAATCCACTCAGTCACACCAATGAGAGCCTCTACATCCTCTTGACAGAGTCTAGGATGGTGTGTCCACCTTCTGGCACCACAAGATACCTCAGACTCCCATTTCATATTTCCTGGCCCTGGATCAGCCTTTTCTCTTTGCCTCCTGCTTAGTCATCTTCCTAATCTTTTTTTTTTCTTTTTTTTAAAATTTTTTAAAAGCGTTTCCTTGAGTTAAACCAGTGACACCCCAGAGAGCAAGATCTCAAATGCTCCCGTCCGAACCATTTTCTTTGCATAGACTGGTTGGCCGCGTGCTCATGCCGATAACCGTCCATGGAGCTGACTTTTAAAAACTTTTTTATTTTATATTTGATTCCCTCTCAGACTGAAAAGCTTGCTTCCTAACATTATCATAATCCCTTGGCCCGCTCCTGCAGGGAGTAAGAAATATTTGTAAAAAGAACGGCGATGCCGCTTTTAGCGGTGAAGCCACCGGGGGAGCGTCCGCGTCCCTGTCTGTCATCCGGTAGAGCCTCACACCCTGGGGGTGCGGAGTCCCCGAGTTCGCCCTTCGCTCCTAGTGGTGAGCCTGCCACCTTGGTCCAGGGTGTCTGGAAAGGAGGTGTGCCTTTGCGAGCATGCAAAACACAGAATTTATCCTTGTATTATTTGTTCCTTATTGTATTACTGTTCCATACGAACAGCTGTAAACCCACTTGTGCCCCCCACCCCGTATGCTTCCCTTTTTCCATTTTCCTACTTTACATATTCAAAAGTAAGACAATCTGCAAACATTACATGGTCCCTAATTAAAATCTGTATAACAAGGTTGTGTTTATTATTATTTCTAACCATCCACCAATAATATGTTTGGTTTTGAGGGAGGGGGAGAGAGAGAAACAGTGATGGGAAAGAAACACTGACGAGTTGCCTCCCATACATGCCCCCAGCTGGGGGTCGTACCTGCACCCTAGGCATGTGCCCTGACCGGGAATGGCACCCGCAGCCTTTTGGTGTGTGGGACGGTGCTCCAACACACTGAGCCCCCCTGGCCAGGGCTAACAAGGTTATATTTAGATGTCTCACTTCTATTCCAGCTCCTCCACCCTGTTTCTTACTAAGGCTGTGGTTTGGATACACATCCTGAGTTTGTTTTTTTTCATTTCACTTAAAATATAAAATATAACCTGAGACCACATAACATACCTTTGTGCGTGTGTTATGGGAAGAGATCTCATTCACAGCGGTGGCAGTATAGTTCTCCAGTACGTGGGTGCAACACCAATTATTTTTTTTTTTAAGTTACTTTTAGAGGGGAGAGGAGGGAGAAAGAGAGGGAGAGAAACATACATTGATCGTTGCCTCTCAAATGCCCCCATCAGGGAACCTGGCCTGCTACCCAAGCGTGTGCCCCGGCTGGGAATCAGACCGGCGACCATTCGCTTCGCAGGCCAGCGCTTCATCCACTGAGCCACAGCAGCCAAGGCTGCAGCATAGATTTTTAAGCACTCCCTGTTATTGACGATTTGGGGTGGTTTTCACTCGTTGGCTGTGAGTGAATCTCCCTAAATAAATAGATGTATGTGTCATTTGGCTTTTCGGCCAGGGTATTTTGGTAGTATAATCCTATGAGTGCAAATGCTGGATCAAGGGATAAATGCATGTAAAGTTCTGGTAGATCGTGCCTGATTTGCCTTCACATTAGAGGTAGGACAATGTTACATACAACTTGCGATGGCCTGTCCTTTGCTTTCCTTGGCTTGTAGACACAGCCCTCCAGCCTCCACTTGCGTTATGTTGCTGTGTGACGTCCTTCCTTCTGTGTCCAGATTTCCTCTTCTCAGGAGCGCCCCCCCCCGCCCCCACTCCAGTATGACCTCCTCTTCACTCCTTCACGTTTACAAAGGTCCTATTTGCAAATCAGGTCACACTCAAGGTCCTGGGGGTTAGGATTTCAACGTATCTTTGGGAGGGGACACAATTCTCCTAAAAGTACCCCAATGAGCCAAAAGGAGTGTTTAATTTTAGGACCCGGTGACCTTCAGGGATGTAACACTAAACTTCACCAAGGAGGAGTGGAGCCTGCTGGACCCCGAGCAGAGGAGTCTCTACAGAGACGTGATGCTGGAGAACTTCCGGAACCTGGCCTGCTTAGGTGAGGCGCCCCTGCCTGCGCGCTGTCGGGGGGCGGACGGAGGGGCGTCAGGTGCCGCCTGTGTTCAGGAGGCCACTGAGCCATGGGACCCCCGTGTTAGGTCCCAGAGATAGGGCTGCTGCTGTGGTAGATGCAGGTTTTCCCTGCTTGTTGCATGATGTTTTATTCACCCCGTGAGTAATAGCCGTTGGGGGCGTCCTTAGTGGGTGAATGCGGGGCTCAGGGTCTCCTGAGAAGAGCGGAGAGTGCGCACATCCACTGTGGAAAACGTGGTGGTGGTTCCTCAGAAAGTGAAATACAGCATTACCGTGTGTCGCGGCAATTCCGCTTCACAGTATACACCCAAAGGAAGGGAGGGCGGGGTGCAGACAGGCGCAGGAGCAGGGGCTCAGAGCTGTGCTGTTCCCAGCAGCCAGGAAGCGGGCAGAACCCAGGTGTCCCTCGACAAGTGCCCGGAAAAACAAAACGCGCGCGATCCAAACCATGGCGTGTTCTTCACCCATGAAAAGGAATGACTTTCGGATGCATGTGACAATGTGCCTGAACCTGAAAGCGATATGTTGAATGAAAGGAGCTGGACACAAAAGGGCACGTAGCATAGGGTTCCGTTTACATGAAGTGTCAGGAGTAGATAAAGCCAGAGACACAAAAGGCAGATGGGTGGTCGCCTGGGAATGGGGGTGGGGGAGGGGGAGGGGGAGGAGCTGCTTAACAAATACAAGGTTTCCTTTCAGGGGTGGGGGGATGGAAATATGCTGTAACTAAATGGAGATGATGCTTGTGCAACATAAGGATGTACTTAATGCCACTGAATCGTACATTTGAAAACGGTCATTTTTTTGTTGTGTGAATTTCACCTCCATTTAAAAAAAAAAGTCCATTTCATCTGAGAGCAAAGCTGAGGCTTGTCTGTGTGAGCTTCGTTGGGTACCTAGAAATTTTTACTTTTCGTTCATCTTCTCATAGTTTCTCCTTGTTTTCCCAGAGAAAGACCTGGCCCCCTTGAACTTTAAAATTACACATGGTCTCTGTCCTAGTCCTTTCAGGCTGATAGGACAGAATGGCACAGGCTGGGCATTAGGCCATGCACGTTTATTTCTCACACTCTGAAGGCTGGGGAGTCCCAGGGTCAAGGTGCTGGCGGGTTTGGCTCCTGACAAGAGCTCTGCTGCCTGGTTTGCAGGAGGCCACCTTCCCATTGTGTCCTCATGTGAGGGAGAGAGTTCTCCTCTCCTCTTCTTATCAGGACTCTAATCCCAACATGGAGGCCCCACCCTGGTGACCTGTAACCCCGATGACCTCCAGGCGGCATCACATGGTGGGGGTTGGGACTTCGACACATAAATTTGGGGAGGGAGACAAGCTCGGTCCACAACAAACTCAGTCTGGTTCTCTCGCACGTGGCTTTCCTCCTGTTCACACCCTCCGTCTTCTACAGACCATTTCTTTTTTTTTTTAAGATTTTAATTATTTACATTTAGAGAGAGGGGAAGGGAAGGAGAAGCAGGAGGAGAAGAACGTCGATGGGTTGCCTCTCCCATGCCCCCAACCAGGAACCCAGCCCACAACCCCGGCATGTACCCTGCCTGGGAATCGAACTGGTGATCCTTTGGTTCTCAGGACAATGTCCAGTGTCCACTGACCCCAGCAGTCGGGGCTGCAGACCATTTCTTAGCGGCTTGCCATCCGTGCCGAGCCGCAGTCCCACACTCCTGACCCAGCCCAGGTTCCTAAAGGCTCTCCGCTTGCTTGCTCTCACTTTCACACGTGCCCCTCTCATGTGTCTGCGGGAACATTTAAAAAGAAGCATTTACCTGTTTGATCCTCTCCGGCCCACCTTTCAACAAAGAACTTAACCTCTATGCTGCTTTGTTTCAGATGGGGCGATTCAACATAAAACCAAAGACTCAATCCCTCAGCAGGGCATTCTTGCTAAAAAGACGTTTCCTGAAGCCAGCAGAGCGTGTCTCACGAGCAACAGTGCCCCGCTGGGAGGAGGCTGGGAATGCCCCCGAACACAGGAGCCGCGCGGGAAGCCCACCGCAGCTGCCCGCGCGCAGGGCACGTCTCCGGCCGGCGTGTGCGCGTGCCCCGGCATGCGGGCAGGCACCGGCCCGAGCTCAAAGCGCGGGCCTTCCCAGGGAGATTGCACAAGAAAATACAGCCCCCTACATATTTCAAGGCCAAATTGTGTCTTAACAAATAATCACAAAACCTCCGAAATCAGCAAGGATGGAGGAGGATGGTGGCAGCACATTCCGTCAGCCCCGAGTGTGAGAACTCCGAGAGGGGCGAACTCAAACCCTCAGAACAACGGGCTTCGTGCTCGTGAGACAATGTGTGTGGGCGTTGATGACCAGGGATGGGATCCGTCTGGGAACGTCTTCACTGAAGACTGTGTCCTTAAGACACACGAGACTCATGTTGCAGAGAAAATGGACGAGTCTAAGGAGTTTGAAAAGACCTGTCGAGGCCGCCCGCTCTGGGGTGAGCAGATGCAGTGTTACACAGCAGAGACAAATAGTGAGAACAACCAGCGTGGGAAACCCGCTGCCCCCCTGCCGAAGCCTGAGTCCCACAGGAACACCAGGACTGGAGAGAAAATCTATAAATGCGAAGACTGTAGGAGAGCCTTTGCTTACCACTCTTTCCTAATGCAGCACATGAAAATTCACACTGGAGAGAAACCCTACGAATGTGAGACATGCGGGAAAGCCTTTCGATACTCCTTACACCTCAACAAACACTTAGCGTGGCACGTTGCAGAGAAGTCCCACAAATGTAAGGAGTGTGGGAAAGCCTTCCGCAGGTCCTCAGACCTCACCAAACATACGAGGATTCACACTGGAGAGAGGCCCTACGTATGTAAGGTATGTGGAAGAGACTTCACTGTTCGCTCGGGACTTAAGAGCCATCTGAAGAAGCACAGCTAAGAGACCCCCAGGATGAAAGAAACTCAAAGAAAACTTTATTCTCAAAATACTGAATGCAGAAGGAGGCCATATTGGAAGGGAGCTCAAGGGGTTTCATACAGGGGGGAAGAGTCTTACTTGAACACTGTATCTGACAGAAATGGGAAAATTCACACTGGCGAGAAAGCCAAGAGACCTTTGGTTCCCACCCTTCACTTTCAGGGTCAAATGCGTACATAGTAGCAGAGAAACACCACGAGTGTTGTTACTGCTGCCACGGTCATCTCCTCCTTGAGTCGGAACCAAAATTCATTGTTTTCCACTTTTCCTTTTCTAATAAAGTCCTGTGAAATGATGAGTGTCCCTCTCAGCTCTGTCACGTGAAAGTGTGTCATGTGTAGTAGCTTCATGAGAGTTCACTTAACATAAATAAGGTCCCACCTGCGTGAAGCCCTGTGGGAGCCACGTTTAAGCTGGACGGGCCCCAAAATGCCATTTTTTGTTCGTTGTTGTCACCGGTCGTGATTTGACTGCGTTAGGTCAGAGCGTGTGGCCTTCATGGTGCTGATAGGCAGTGTTGCTCTGACTTTCGTTCTGGATTCTGGTCTCACGTGGCCGCCCCGCCAGTTGCCTGGCCACATCCCTTCTTCTCCTCTTTACTAAGGTTGCATAGACTTATTTCTCCAGAGCTTGCACTGTTTAATGTTTTTAAATGCATTTCCCAGTTTACCCCTCACTGAGGGCAGGGGCAGCGTACAGCCCCGGCCAGTGGGGAGGACAGAGTCCCTGGCGTGGATTCCCGGACAGCTGTCTGGAGGGCACAGCGTCCGTCACTCAGCTTCTCTTACACAAGTTCCCTGTGCCCTCTCCCTGTTGCTCTCTGCTAATTGGACGACACTCCCTGCTTTAGGACGGTGACGTTGGGATCGTTGGGGGAGGGTCATGGTCCCTGTAACACAACCTTCAAAATGCAAGATTTTTCACTCTCCGATGGCGCATTTGTGGGTGTCCATGGCTGCAATAGACGGTATTTTTTAGACTCACTGCATGAAGCAAATCCCTACCTAGTTGGATTTAAAAGTATATTAAGGGAGATTTTTTTTTTATAACTCCGTTAAATGCTAAATGATCAACTTAGTGTATGGCCAGTTTTTTAAAAATTGCTGCTTGTGTTCCGAAAGACTGTGCTTTTCTTTGGCATTGGGTGGGCTCAGGGACCAGGACATGCCTGAATAAGCTTCCTGAGTGTTTTGCAATCTCTCATTACCAGAGTGTTAGACTCATTCTTTTAGTGAGCAAGTTTATGATAAAATCTCACTCTATAAGTGGGTTATCAACGTCTGATTTTGTCAATTCTTGCTTAATGTGTTTGGAGACAATGTGATTAGATGCATAGGAAGTTGGCATTTTCTTTATTGCTGGTGAGTTCTTTCTAGTCTGTTTTAACCATCTCTTCGACTGACAATGATTTTTTTCCCCTCACCTGAGGACATTACTTTCCCTTTTTTTTTTTTTAAGAGAAAGGGAAAGTGGTAAAGAAACATTGATGGGAGAGAGAAACACCAATTAGTCACCCTCTCACATGAGCCCCAACTGGGGACCAAACCCGCAACCTGGGTCTGTGCCCTGACTGGGAATTGAAGCTGTGACCTTTCGGGTTGCAGGATGACACTCCCAACTAACCAAGCCACACGAGCCAGGGCCTAACAATGAATTTTTTTTTTTTTTAAATCTGGGTGGAAGTGTATGTACCCTTTACCATGAGTAAGGCATCTTTTGTTTTTTTTAATATATAATCTTTTTGAAAATATTTTCAGAGAGAGGAAGGAAGGAGAAATAGAAACATCAATGTGTGGTTGCCTCTCATGTGTCCCCTCGTGGGGACCTGGCCGGCAACCCAGGCATGTGCCCTGACTAGGAATCGAACCAGCAACCCTTTGGTTCACAGGCCGGTGCTCAATCCACTGAGCCGCACCAATAGAGCTAAATATGTCATCTTTATATTTCTTCCATCACCATTTAGTCCCCTTAATGCCCCTCCCCCAGCAATCAGCACCCTGTTGTCCATGCCCATGAGTCCTGTTTTGCTCAGTCCCCCAGATTATTTTTTTGAAGAATTGTTTTTAAAAATTTAAAATACAAAACAGATTCCATACATTCTGCCATAGATAAAAACAAACAAGGCAAGACTGCCATGAGCAAGTCTTTATGTATATCCTCGCTACTGACCACAACTCCACACAAAAAGTGCTTTTAATATTTCCTTTCACGTATCACACGATAATCTTTGGATTATTTTTTTCCAGTCTTTTAAAAGTAAAAAACCATTCTTAGCTCACAGGCCCGATTTGGCCCATAGGCCTGAGCCAATGAAGGAACAAAACAAGCCTTTACCTCACAGCATCCGCTTTCTCACGCGGAAGACGGACAGAGATATAAAGGCAGGGCTCTCTATCCTGACTTTCTATTTTCAATTGAAATTTTTATTGAACTTCCGGGGTGGCACTGGTTGATAAAAATATCTGGGTTTCCAGTGTATAATTCTCTAATGCGTCAGTTGCATACTGTGTGTTCACCGCCCGAAGTCAAGTCTCTCCATCGCCATTTATCTCCCCTCTTCCCCTCTCCTACCTCCCCGCCCCCTTCCCCTCTGGTGACCAACTGTTTCTGTGTCTGGGAGTTTGTTTTTGCTTAATGCCCTTGTCTGTTTTCACCCAGCGCCCCAAATCTTCCTCCCCACTGGCAGCTGTCAGTCTGTTTTCTGTGTCTATGAGTCTGTTTTTATTTTATTTTGTTTATTAGATTCCACATATAAGTGGAATCATACAGTGTGTGTCTCTGGCTTCTTCCACTTAGCATAATCTACAGGTCCATCCACACTGTTGCAAAAGGTAAGAATTCCTTCTTTTTTGTAACCAAGCCGTATTCCATTCTGTAAATGTACCACACCGTTTTTTTATCCACTCATCTACTGATGGACACTTGGGCTGCTTTCACATCTCGGCTATTGTAGATAACGCTGCAATGAACATAGGGGTGCATGTATCATTTCATATTAGTGTTTTGGATTTCTTCAGCTATGTTCCCACAGTGGCTGCACCCATCTGCACGCCCGCCAACAATGCACAAGGGTTTGCTTTCCTCCACATTCACCCAACACGTTCGTTTGTTGATTTATTGATGGTAGTCATTCTGACAGGTGTGAGGTGATAATCTTACTGTGGTTTTAATTTGCCTCTCTCTGATCTTTAGTGATACTAAGTATCTTTTTATGTCTATCAGCCATCTTATGTCCTCTTTGGAGAAGTGTCTATTCAGGTCCTTGGCCTATTTTTTAAATTGGATTGTTTGTACGGGGGTTTTGTTGTTGTTTTGGTGTTGAGTTGTGTAAGTTCTTTATGAATTTTGGTTATTAACCTCTTACCAAATGTATCATTGGCAAATATGTTTTCCCATTCAGTGAGTTTTCATTTCGTTGATGGTTTCCTTTGCTGTTCGTCTGGGAAACGTGGCTACCCGAGGGTGTATGAAAATATCCACAGAGCGTTAGAAGTCAGCGAGGCGAGCGCCACACACCCACCGTCCACGTCCATGCGCGGCTCATCATGAAATGCCAGGCAGTTCCATCTGGGGCCCCCAGTCCTCAGGAAGAAGCCACTGTGTCACAGTTTAGGTTATTCATCCCCTTGCTCATCTGTATGGTCACCACCTGTGCATAAATCCCTACATAGTCATATTTTTGGCTGACTTTTATACTACCTATGGTATCACATTAAATATTTCTCTATGTCTTGCTTCGTTCAGAGAAAGATTAGCCCAGGTGGGTTGCAGTGAAAAGAACGGTTCTTCTTCACCGCCCTGTTAGGGTATTTTTAAAGAGACCTTTGTGTGTCCTCTGTGTGTCTTGCTATAGGTATTGTAAACACTACTGCTAAAACTGCTTTTGTATGATCAATACAAAAGAGTTTTAGGCAGAATAGGGTTGTATGATTCCATTTATACAGAATTTCCAGAAAAAAAGTCAGTGGAGACAGAAAGAAGCAGATCAACGGTTGCGTGGGGGTTGAAGAGGGGATAGCACATTGATTGCAAGCTCTCGAGAGGGAAATTTGGGGGATCGTGGACTGTGATCATTGTACAACTCTGTTCAATGTATGAAAAGTTATTGAGCCCTGGGTGGGTGGCCCGGTTGGAGCTTCCACCGGCACACTGAAAGGTTGTGAGTTCGATTCCCGGACAGAGTGCATCCAGGAGACAACCGATAATGAGTGGACTTTACAGAGTGTAAATTACGCTTTAGTGAACCTGTGCTTTTAGAGAAGGAGAAGCATTTAGAGAAGGAAGGAAGGAGAGAAAGAAACGCCACAGGGTTCTCTTGGGTGCTCACAGCTGTGTGGCACCCAACAGCTCTGCTAAGTTCAGCTTTGGAGGGCAAGGGACCCACCTGAAGAGGAAGAGAGAGAGCTCTCCAGGTCGGCCCTGTCTTCCTCGCATGGCCTGCCCACGCCTCCCCCTGCACTTCCCCGCCCTCACACCCCCATGCCCTTGGTCCTCAGTCCCTACAACTGTAAAAGGAGAATTTTTAAAAATTGGTTGGACAGACATATACCGGGCCCTTTCGAAGTGCTTTACAAATATCTCATTTACTGCTTCACAACAACCCTGTGAAGTAGACGCTATTACTCCCATTTTACAGCAGAGGAAACAGGCATGGAGGGCGGAGCAGGCTGCCCAAGGTCACAGCGGGCTGGGGACCAAACTGGGATCTGTCCCGCCCCAGACGAGGTGGGGAGGCCTCCCAGTATTGATGAGGTCGTGGATTTGGGGTCTCGTCTGTCCTCCCCACCGGATGTGAGCTCTGGGAGCGGGGACTCCGTATGGAGCATGGAGGCATTTAAAGAACGTGTGGAATGTAGATGGGGTGACTGGATACCAGGGTGGCCACATCCCTGTGACGGGAGCCCTCCTGTCCGCTATTTGCTCGGGATTATATTCCTGGTCAGGGCTTCCAGTCCCAGTAAGCGGGATCCTCCGGGCCACGCGGGACCAGAGGGAAATCTCCGCCTGGAACCTGGGACCGTCTGGGTAGAGGACGCCCCAGAGCCCGCTTGCGGCCGGACACGGGCGCCACCTGGCGGCCGAGTGCTGGAAGACAGCGCGGTCGGGAGACGCGAAATGTTTGCTTAGGACAAAGACAGTTGCTGTCAGCTGTTCAAGGTCAGTTATATGGAAATCAGTGTTTGAAGCCGGGGGCGGCCCCCCAGTGGCTTCCAATCTTTTCTGATGCCCCATAAGGAATCATTTCATATCAACAACATAGTTTCATGATAAGCCACCCTATCCTGCATAATGCTTTTTATTCTACTTCTATTTTTAAACACTGGTTAGATTCCCTTACGTTGATTTCCTGACACTCTGAGCCTCCCCTGAGAAGGCAGGATAGTGTATTCCACTGTCCTAGATGATCCCAGCTGACAAATTACCGTGGAGAAAGGTTTGGTACCCAGACCAGGCCCCCAGTGACATTTCTCCAGGGATTCACTCACTGCCGGCTCGGACTTCCAGCTGAGGAACTGCGCTCAGAGACCTGAAGACACTGGTCCCCGGCCACACAGCGCATATGCAGCAGTGCCGGTTTCCGCCTCCCTCCTGGAGAAGTCACTAAGTACTCCAAATTTCACTGCTACTGAGTGCAATTTATTTGTCTATTGTCCCCTTTTGCCAATAAGATTGAGCTACACAGGTCAGCCATTTTCTTACACTGATATATGTGAATTAATGACATCCCAGAGCTCAGGTTTAAAAATGCAAGTCTTCATATGGAACAAAATGAATCTGAGATGGCAATATTTACACCACAGAAATGGGTACGCTCTCCAGGTCAGGAGTTTTTTTCCTGAAGAGTCGGTTGCTACACATTCACCCGCAGACCAACCACTGGGTAGGCCCCGCCAGGTGTAGGGTCAGGTGAGGGGAGAGCAAGACGGGATTGTCTGAATAGGAGGGAAAATGCTACACTGATTGTTCATTTTCGTCACATCATAATCACACTCGTGAGCATTTATTATGTGTCCATTCTAAGGCTTTACATGCACCAATTCTTTTTATTCTTATTAAGAAAGCTCTCTGAGGTAGGGACTATTGTCAACTTGTCTTAGGGGAACGAGGCCTGGAGTATTCCTTTCCTGGGTTGGGAAGATGGATGGCTGATTATCTGCCTGCATTTGGTTGCATTACATTTTGACAGGGCATCTGACAGTGACAGGAAAGAGTTCCCTGAGTTCTCTGTGGCGTTCGAGGCCCCCTCACTCCCAAACCCACCCGATAGCAGGAAAGGGACAGTCTGTTTTATCGCTGGGACCCTTGGCGGGCATTAGGCTTGTCCACGCACATTCCTCCCTCTCTCGCCTTCCAGACTGCACTTCCCACTCCCCTGTGAAGTTAGGCGTGGTCACATGACTGGCTTGGGGCAATAAACATGAGCGGAAGGGAAGCGACGCGTGTCATATCCAGGTAGGCGATGTAAGAGTCGTAGCTTTGCCATTTTCTCTTTCCCAGTGACAGATTGTCAACCCTCCAGACAGGGTGCTGCTCCATCTGCCTGGGACACAAGGATGGGTGAAGCATAGCTCTGAGCTAACCCACAACAGACCAACAGCACTGGAGAGTAATAAACCTTTGTTGCATTAGGCCACTGAGATCCTGGGCTTGTTACTGCAGCACAACCCAGCCTGTCCTGACTGACACAGTGCCCAGTTCTGAGGAGAGCCTGAAGTGTGGAGGTCCCCAAAATGAACAGATGAATGGCTGAATGAGTGAACAGGGCCACAAATGTCCCCTGGGTCAGAGGTAAGGAAACAGCCATGTCTCTTGATTGCTCTTTCACATAGACACTTGTCACCAGGCTGGGGTAAACGTCAGGCTCTCATCTTTATTTGCTATGGTCATAGCTCATGCGGGCCCCGATCTCTTTGCTGTGATTCTTCCCCCACAGTCAGTACGGGGGGCTCTTGGTCAGGGGGTGGGGGGTAGGGAGGAATGAGGAGCTACGGAGACGGGGACATGAGATGCCAGGAGAGCCTGGGAGATGGAGATGTGAGGAGAAGGAATTAGAAATGGGGAGGCAGAAACAGGAGGTGGGAGAGAACCAGAGAGGGCAGAGCAGAGATGCGTAGACGGGCATGAGACAAGACAGAGACACACTGAATAGAAAACAAACAGGAGACTGGAAGACAGAAAGGGAAAGGAGGGTGTGGACCAGAGAGCAAGACCACGAGACAGATGAGAGAATGAAGAGCCCGTAGGAAGAGACGCGGGGACACACACAAGGGAGGTGGAGACAGCGTGGGGGCAAAAAGACATGAGGCCTGGAAGTGGGAAAGACGGAGTCACGGGGAAATTCGGGGAGGGGGTGGGTGGAGGCACACGAGATGGCCCCGCACAAAGCAGGGGCAGCGTGGGGCTGGGCGCCCTACTCGTTGCTCTGTGAGTCTCTGCTGGTGCTGGAGCCCGGGCCGGTGCTGGTGGCTGGGTCAGCGCTCAGTTCCGACCTGGCGCCTCCACTCTGCGCGCCTCCAACGCTTTCGGGGCCTCTGCTGGACTCCACGTATCCCGTGGACCCCAGATAGCTGCTCGAGCTGGGGGGTCTGAAGGTCACGCGGCCCCCAGTTGAGGCCGGGCTGGCACTGGTGGAGCTGGTCTCAGTCACGCGGCCTGCACTGGAGCTGGGGTCATCAAAGGTGACGCGGCCCACATTGGAGCTGGTGGCACGACCCCCGCTGGACACCAGGATGCCGCTAGTCTTTTGGCTGAAGGCGGACGCGGAGAACATAGCAGGGCTCTTGGTGGTCACCAGGGGCGCGCCCGAGCCAGCCTTCTGGGCCCCGGAGATGGCTATGCTCTGGCCGCTGCTGGCCTTCACCTCCACCGGCTCCCTCACGGGCTGCTCCCGGGCGCCCACAGCCTTCTTCACGTGGCTCAGCAGCTCCTCCCTGCTCATCGGGTAGTCGTCCCTGGCCTCGAAGCCCACGGGGTCCTCCCTGAAGTGCGGGAAAGGCAGGAAGGGACTGCGCCTCCACCCACAAAAGGCCAGTGGCTCCCCACCGCCATACCCCTAGGCCCGCAGCGTGCGCCAGCCAGCGCTAGGAGCCCTTGTCCCTCTGGAGCCCCCAGGGCCGCCGTCCCATGCTGTCTCCGGGAGCCCCTACTCTGGTTCCCCAAAGCACCCACCTCATCTACTCCCCCCACCCAGAGCCACACCCGCTCTCTGGGCCCCCTAAAACCCTGCCTCCCGGTTGTCCCCTCTGCCGCATGGAGTCTCCGTCCCCTCCCACCGCCCTCTCGCCCTGTGCCTCACAGATAGTCCGGGAGCTGAGGCAGGGCCACCTTCTTCGGCAGGTCCTCGGAGGTCTGGCCCAGCACCAGGAGGGCGGCGTTTGCCAAGCTGGCGGGGGTGCGCCCCTGGAGGGGGTGAGTCCTTGGTCAGCTCGGGCCGGCCTCCGAGGCTGGGGCTGCCTGTCCCCTCCGCGTCCCCTGCCTCCCCACCTGGACGTCTAGGAAGGCCTGCACCGTGAGGAGCTCCACCAGCCGCTTCTCGATGAGGCTCAGGAAGAGGCCTATGTCGCGGTCTCGCATGTGTGTCTTGATGCCCAGGAGGTCATCGATGACAGTGCTGTCACAGCGGGCCCTGGTGAAGAACTGCTGGATACCTGCGGGGCGGGGCGGGGCGCAGGCTGTCGTGGAGCCGGAGCACTCTGGGTGCCAGCCCTCGCCTTCCTGCAAGGCCCCGTGAACAGAGAGAGCAAGGTTCGAAGAAGTCCCCGGGTGCAGCCAGCCAGGCAGTGGGAGCCATCGCTGCGGGCCTGGCACCGGGCTCCGGACGAACAGCGAGGGGGTCCAAGGGAACCCAAAAGGCGTCTCCCCTGAGACACGGCCTCCCGCAGCTCTGTCAGAGGCAGCCGACCCCGCAGCTCAGGAGCCCCAGGGAAACACATGCTTCCTTTAACATCATACTCCAGGTGCGGGCCATGCTGTCCTTGGCTGAGCCATGTGGGTCGCTGTCGTGACCCACTCACACCACTGGCCTGGGCATGACCCGCTTATATTTGATTTGGTTCGTTAAGTGGTGGTGGTGCATGAAATACGAAGGCACCGCGACCCTGTCAGGAATCTGCACCCAACCCTACCATCCCCACCAGCCACCCCTGGGACTCCGCCCCTGAGCTCCAGGCTCACCTACACCATTTCCTCCTGGGGTCCCTCCCGGGACACCGGGGACACCGCCGACCAGCCACACTGAGCTCTGGGTCGTCCCAACCGCACTCCATCTCAGGGAGGGGACTCGCCCGCACCGGCCCAGACCGGGTGCACCTCGTCCCTTCTCCCCTTCTCCCCCAAGGCCCACCGGTCTCTGCCCCTCCTCTCTGTCCTCCGCCCCCCAACTGCCCTACGCACAGCCCTGTCCTGCTCACGCCCCTCCCATGGCTCCCCAGCACCTCCGGGAAGTGCCTCAGCCTGGCTTCCCTTCAGGACCCGGCCCCCTCCGCCCCCACCCCTGCACCCTGCGGTCCTGCACAAGGAGCCTGCACGCATGCGCATGCAGTGAAGGCGGCTCTGGGCCTCGGCCGCCTGCTGGAAGCAGTCCCTGCCCAGTTTTTCAGTTAAATACTCATCCTTCAAGATCAGCATTGAGCATCGCTGCTTCCAGGAAGCCTTCCCTGTCACCCAGCAGAGCCGTGGTCACGGATGTGTCACCTGGGCAGTGGCACAGGGCCTGGTGCTCCGAAGGGCCCTGCATTTGCTTTGATGCTCTGCTGTTGCCACCTTGAGATTCTTGACACTTTTTTCCCCCTAACAAGGGGCCCCACTTTTTTATTCTGCACTGGGCACCCAAGATTACGGTCCACCCTCGACACCGAGGCAAGACGCACCCCACTTCAAGGCCCCAGGTGTCCTCCACCCTAGCTCCTGGGTTACAAGTACCCAGGGCCCAGGTCAGGCTCCCCGCAGCCGCTCCCCACCCGGGCCTCCGCACCCAGCACAGGCGTCCGCACAACGGCCTCAACGACTGGGGAGGGCGGACTCCGGATAATTGTGCTCCTACTGTGTGCCATGAAGCGGCTTTCCTGCTTGCTCCCCATCGCCACTGCCACCTTTCTGTCTCTCACCACCTTTATACCTTGCCATCCACCATCCCATCTACTTCTCATGACCGCCCTACGAAGCACGCACTACATCCCGTTCCCAGAGAGCAGTGGGCGGCGGAAACCGCACACCAGCGTCCACCAATGGTGGAGCCCCAGGGCAGCCTGACTCTTGAGCGCTCTTCACTGGTGGGATGAGTGGATGATGGAGACTGGATGGGCGACGGATATGGGACGGTTGGAATAACGGGTGGGTGGGTGAGTGGATGATGGATATGCGATCGGCAAAGAAGTGAGCGCACAACATCATTTGCAGAAACCTCCAAGTGGCCAGCCCAGGTCTGGGTCCTCTGCGTGCTCATCACCTGCTCCCAGCTGAAGAGGGGCGGGCGCTCACCGGCCTTGAGCTGCTCCAGCTGCCCCCGAAATTCCTGGGAGCGGACCTCGAGGTGATCCGCCTCAGAGCGCACGCCTTCGATGCTCTGCTGCAACGCCGCGCGGCGCTCCGCCTGCAGCGCCTGCCGGGTGGCCTCGCTGGCGCGCATGCTCCCCATGGCCGCCTGCACCTGCGGGGCAGGGGCGGGACGCTGGGCCCGGCTCCGGGAGAGGAGCCGGACCTCGGGGGACTGGACAGGCGCCGAGGCGAGGAGGGAGGGCGGGGCTCGGGGCCTGGCCCCCTCACTCACCTCCTTGATCTCCTCCTGCAGACGCTCTAGCTCCGAGTTCTGCTCGTTGATGAAGTTGAACTCAGCGAAGTTGCGCTCCTCCACTGGGCGCGGGGCGGGAAAGGGAAGGCAGGGCGAGAGACACAGGGACAGAGGTGTTCAGAAAGAGATACGGGCAGAGAAAGGGGGCACAGAGAAAGTCAGACTGAGAGCGCGACAGAAAGCCACAGAAAGACCCAGAAATACCGACAGAGAGTGAGGGAGAGAAAATGGTAGAGGCGGGTCAAAAGGGAACAGAAGGCCAGGGAGACCGACGACAACAGGGACACGGGGGAGAAGCGCGATGGAGGGGAGGGTTTGGAGAGTGACTCGCAGGCCCGGGAGCGACAGCCGGGAGCAGGGAGGAAAGGGAAGGGGCCGTCGGGGAGGCGGGAGACAGACGCGCCCAGCGAAATCCGACAAATAAAAAGGCAGAGAGACAGACACTCCGGGAGGACGGACAGGTGCGGAGAAGAGGGGGACAGAGGAAAGGGGACAGCAGGTGGAGACGGTAGGAGAGAGACGGGGGACGCCGGGGGGGGGGGGGTGGCAGAGGCGGGCCCACCGCAGGGGTACGTGCAGAACCTGCCCGCGCGTCCCGCACAGGTGCAGCGTCGCCAGGGCCCTCGGTGACCGAGGCGGAGCCGGCGTGGCGCTGCCTGGGACGCTGCGGGCCGCGCCTCGCCTCCGCCGCGGCGCGCAGGCGCTTACTCTCCAGATACTTGTCCACCATCAGGTCCGGGTCGCTCTCCCCCGTCAGCTGGGACAGTTTGTTCAGGGTGTCCTCATACCGCAGCACCAGCTTCTCCTGGGAGGTCTTCCGGAGGCCCTCGGCCACCTCCTGGGCTGGGAGGAGACGGGCAGTGAGGTCTGCGTCCAGTGCGGCCACTAGCCCCGAGGGGCCTCGTGGAGCGAGCCGAGGGCCGGGCCGCCTCCGGGCCGGGCACACACCACCCGCACCCCGCGCTCTCCGGCGCCCCCTGCAGGCCGGCCCCGGCCCTTGCCTCCTAGCGAGACCTGGAGACCCGCGCGGCGCCCCTCAGGCGGCCTGGTCTGTGGGGTGTGGCGGTGGCAGCCCGGCCCTCACCCCGTTTCTCGCGCTTCTCCACGACGGCCGGATCCGGCTGGCGATCATCGTTCTTGAGCTTGAGGAAGCGGTGCAGCTGATCCAAGTGCGCGATCTGCCGCTGCAAGGTCTGCACCTCCGTCTGGTTCTGGACCACCTCCTTGTCCGCCCTCTCCCGCAGCATATCCATCTTGGTCTTCGCCTCCTCCCTGGGGAAGGCCAGTCGGGGCAGGGAGATCGGAGGCTGGACTGGGGTCAGCCTGGGTTTCCCAGGGATAGTGGGTCCAGTCTGGGGTTAGGAGGTGGACGGGCAGGGCCAGTCTGGGGTCCCAGGGATAGGGTTACCCTGAGATCAGAAAGGCAGAAAACTTTCTGGGTGCTAGAGATGGGTAGGGGTGGGCTTATGGTACAGAGTCATGGCCCGGGGGTGGGGGGGTGGCGGCGACCCGGCGCTAGACCCTGTAAGGGACTGACGGCCTTGTGCACAGAGTGGGTACCACTGCGGTGCAGGCCAATAAAAGACAAAATAAAATGGAGCAGGCATTGGAGAGTCACTTCAATTAGCGTCGGAGGCCATTAGGGAAGTGGGGCCTGTGCACATCTCCTGCCTCAGTTCTCAGAGCTGCCATTAAGTTGCTAAACCTGTTGCTAAACTCAGTTCAAAGCTGAGCCTTAAACAGCCTGGAGCCATAAACAGCCTGGCACAGCAGCTGGTACATGGATTTTATGGACTTGATTTCCTCCTCGCAGTTCCGGAGCCCTATGAACGCACAGGCCGGCCAGCCAGCCTGCCTGCCTGCCTGCCTTTGCATGTGAGAAGCGCGCTGCGTGGGTTGTGCCTTTATAAACCTGCCTTTCTTTGTTCTCCCTAGAGCCAGCTGAGCTGCTACCTGAACCTGCGGCTCCCAGCTTGCAATCCTTTTGCTCAAACAAATGCATCCTGTTCTTTATTACAGCCTGAAGCTCCTCCCCGGCTACCAGGGCCATCCCAGACGCGGGTGTGACCGTGTGACCCCTGGGACGGGAGGCGGGACGGTGATGGTGCAGGTAGAGAGAGGGAGGGTGCTCAGACGATGTGGGGAGGCCCCGGGACGAGGTAATTGTGCTCGAGTTTGGGGGTCGTGTGGCTGGAAACATAAGGGACTTGGACTATTCGGGACCTCGTGTTGGACAGGTAGGGGATACCACCAGCACTTGCATGCACACCCTGTGAGGACCCTGGGGACACCCTGGACGCCTCACTCACTGAACCTCCCCTGGCCCACATCTGAAAATGCAGCTTCTAAGCTTTTCAATGGCCCCAAGCGTCCTTCACGGTTCACAGGAAAAAGTCAGACAGTCACTGGGTTGGGAGACCAGCAGCCCCGCCTCCTCGGGCCGCCGCCCTTGAACCGTTCGAGCTCCCACCTCCCCACCTTTGCCGGCTTTAGCTGCCTCCACCCAGAGCCCCAGCTCCCTGTTCTACTCAAAGCCTTTAAGGTCACTCAGGTCAATGCTCCTCGGTGAGAAGCCTCCCATGGCAGCCACGGGCCCCAGTCCCAGGGACCCCTCTTGCCTCTGGTGGCTGTCCCTTGGGGATGAGGACTCACAGCTCTTTCTGGGCCTTGGGCTCCCTGTCAGCTGTGGGCAGGGAAGAGGGAGCCCCACCACTCGAGATCCAGGCCCTGCAGGGGGCGGTCTGCAGCCTCCCCGTGAGGTAGACACCACGGTTATTGCTCCGTCATGTGGAGATTCAGAGAGGGGATGTGACCTGACCCAGGAAGCACTGATGACACTGCGTAGTCTGACAGGAAGCGTCAGCAATGATGGCACCTGCCCCGCCTCCCAGGTGAAAACGCCCTGTCGTTGACCCAGCGACGCTGTCCACCACATCAAGTAGGGGTGGGGGGCTGTGTGCTGGGGGGGGCTGGGCCCTGGCGACGCACAGACAGGCCAGCGGGCACCGCCTGGGGGCCTGGCAAGAAGATGTGCTGGCCGATCAGATTGTCCCCCTCCCTTGGGAAGTGCAGAGGGAAACGCTAAGGAAGGGTGGGGCCGGGAGCTGAAAGTACACACACGTAGAGGGAGAAGCCACAGAAGGTTACATTATGAAGGCCAAGTTAGGAAGAAGCCAAAGCTATGTGCGAGCGGAGGCCGCGAGGTCCAGTCCGGGCTCTGAAGGGGCCACGATGGAGGAAATGACAGACTTGGTCATAAAAAGGAAGGAAGGGCTGATACACGCTGCTACGGAGATGGATCTCAGGAGCATCACATTAAGTGGAAGAAGCCAAGCACAAAAGGTCACGTTATTATATAATGACATTTACATGACATGTCTGAGGCAGGCAAATCCATAGAGACAGGAAGGGAGGTAGTGGTTTCCAGGGCACTGGGGATGACAGGAGAAGAGAGTGACTGCTTAACGGGGACAGGTTTCCTTTGGAGAGATGACAGTGTTTCCGATCTAGATAGAAGTGAATTGTACACTTTCAAACGGCGGATTTTGTGTGTGCATCCTGGCAAATCACAGACCGTGAGGTAGATTTGGGTTAGAGCTGATGTCAGGAGGAATCGTGAACCGTCAGCAAGCGGAAGTCACAAGGTGGAAATGAGACACCAGACAGACAGAGGAGACCATCTGGAGCAAGAGAACAGGGTGGAGGCTCAGAAGGAGCAGCGTCGGGGGGAGAGGGTGATGGTGCCCCGAGGACCCCCAGGGGCAGGGACAGAGCAAGGCGAGGGCAGTGGGTTCTCCTTCCGTACATGTCTCTCTACCTGACGGTGGCCTGAGAGACTCTCTGTCCCTGTCAGCCAATCTAATTGCTCCTATTCACCGATGCTGCGCTGTCCCAGGCCCCACGCAGCCTGTGTTGTGTGCACCGTCTCATTAGCTGTCTCCGAACCCTGACGTGCCACGTGCCATGTATGGACCGGGGCCAAGGAAGTTAGTGAATTCATACACCCGAGGTGGCTGGGAAATCAGTGGAGAGAAAGGGGCGCCTTATGAAAAACAACGTAGGTTCTCATGGTTGATTTCTTGAGTTCGGAACCTCCCACCACCGCTGTATGAAAGGCGTGGACTGAATATATAAAGAACTTACATGACACAACACCAGGAAGACAAACGATTCAATCAAAAAATGGGCAAAGAACCTGAGTAGGCACTTCTCCAAGGAGGGTACACAGATGGCCCATAGGCCTGAAAAAATGCTCAGCATCACTGGCCATCAAAGAGATGCACATTGAAACCACAACGAGGTATCACCTCACACCTGTCAGAATGGCCATCATCGATAAATCCACAAACAACAGGCGCTGGTGAGGATGAACACTTGTGCGCTGCTGGCGGGAATGCAGACTGCTGCAGCCACTGTGGAGAACGGCATGGAGTTCCCCCCCAAAATTAAAAATGGAACTGCCTTTTGACCCAGCGATTCCACTTCGGGGAATATATCCTAAGAATCCCAAAACCCCAATTCAAAAGGATATATGCACCCCTGTGTTCATCGCAGTGTTATTTACAATAGCCAAGATTTGGAAGCCGCCCAAGTGCCCATCAGGAGATGAGTGGATCAAAAAGCTGTGGTACATTTACACAAGGGAATGCCACACAGCAGTAAAAGAAAGAGTCCTTACCTTTTGCGACAGCATGGATGGACCTGGAGTCTATTATGCTAAGTGAAATAAGCTGACTTGTCGGTGAAAGACAAATGCTATATGATCTCACTTATAAGTGGAATCTAATGAACAAAATTAACTAACGAGCAAAACAGAACCAGAAGCCCAGACCATGGAGCCCAGTGACAGCAGCGATGGGGGCGGAGGGGGCAGGGGGACTGGATGAAAGAGGGGGAAGAGATTAGTCAAAGGACATACACGCGTGACCCACGGACAGGGACCACGGTGTAGAGACTGACTATGGGCAGGCTGGGCATAGGAGGGCAAAGAGGGAAAAACTGGAGCAACTGTAATAGCATAAGCAATAAAATAAGTAAATTTTGAAAGAAAGGAAGGGACGGAGGGAGGAAAGAGAAGGAGGAAGGAGCGGACTGAGGGACCAGCCCCAAGCAGGGCACGTGCGGGGTGGCCCTACCTGACGGTGTAGGCCGAGGTGGAGGAGGCCATGAGGGCGCTGATCGCGTGCCGCAGGCGCTGGATCTCCTGCCGAGGGGAAAAGCGGATGCCGCTCTCACCAGCTCCGGGCGCAGCGGTGGGGCCGCGCTTCCCCAGGGAGAAGTGGAGCTCCGACTTCGGAGCTGCCTGAGTAGCACCGGCCGCCCGCAGAGGGATTTGAAAGAGGCCAGTCAACGGAAAGCCAGGGCCCGCACTGGAGGCTGGCTCAGGGGCTCCTCCGGCGGAACGCTCAAGGCAGAACATTGAGGGGGACGCTGAGCTAACCCGCTGCTCGACTCAGAAATATGTGTGAAGTTCATCATTGTGACCGCATTCATCTGTTTTCCGCTTCCACGGAAATGTCTTTGCAATTTATGAGTTAAAAGGGTTCTTTCAAGAGAAAAAAGGGAGGAAGTTATATATTTTTTTACACATGTATAACGTGTATATGTTAATGTATACGAACCATACATATACATATATACATATACCCATGCATATACACATGTCTGTGTGTTCATATACATACATGCATATAACCATATACATAATGCATACATATACACGATGCATACGTACACATTATATATACACACACACACACAAATATATTTACTTTTGCACAAAGAAACCCAGGATGGATAACCAGAAACTACAGAGTCTGGGTAGGAGTGAAATGGAAGAGGGAGTGAGGAAATGGTTTTCCTCTGGGATACCTGCTGGAGTAGTTTTGATTTGGGAACCCTGTTACTGGTTTACATATTCATAAAGAAAATTAAACCAACAATAAAAGGGGTGAGAACTAAAACTGCATACAAAGCAAAACAAATGAACCTAACTGTATTTCAACCAAAGAACATAACCACTCCCTGACTGCTGTGGCTTGGTTGGGCAACGTTCCTAGAAGCAAAAGGACGCAGGTTCAGTCCCCAGGCGGGGCACATGCCTGGGCTGCAGGTTCAGTAACGGTTGGGGCGCAAGCGAGAGGCAACCCGTCAATGTTTCTCTTGCATATTGATGTTTCTCTCCCTCTCTTTCTCCCTCCCCTCTCCTCTCTCTAAAATTGAATAAACAAAATATTGAATTAAAATAAAAAAGAATATAACCACATAAAAGACAAAAAATGTGAACTAATCCAAGTGACCTCTGAATACAATAACTTGAATAGAGACGGGGGAGGGGATGCAGATCCCTATGCCCCTCGGTGCCAGGGTAGTACAGCTGCGCTCTCTTCTGTGCACACAGTAGGACTGAGCAAATGACCGAGTATATTGAGGCTGCTGGGAGCCAGGGTTCCCACTGTGGGAGAAGACACTGAAAGATGAAAAGGGGAATGTTCCAGAATAACCCAGCAATGCTGGATTGGAGTTAGCGGTATCAACATGAACTCATGATTTTAAACTACATGTGTGTTTCCCAGCTCTCTCCCAAGAAAGGGCTTCAAATCAGTGACACCCCAGTAACAATGAGGACTCAATGCCGGTCAGTACTTTGGTTTCTCAACACCTACTCTCCGCTAGAAAGAACCAGGACTCCTTGGAGAAATGGCTAACTCAAGAGTTGAGACAGAACATGTATGAGATAATCTGGAATATCTTCCTGCGCCAGAACATAAGGAAGTGCTCGAATGAACGATGGGCCTGTCAAAAGGACTAGAAGTGGGCTTAACGGGGCTCCCGCTGGCCAAATCTGGGGCCGTCTGAACACCATAATGAATAATAACTGTTCTGGATTATAATGCACAGAATAAAGTATGAATACATGAATGCTTACTGATCACATAAATACACAGGGAGAATGAGAGGCTTTTCCTGGCCACCTGATGAATGTAGATGAAATGGTAGAGTTAGGAAATCACCAAGTGGCTGCCCTTACGGTGACAATTATTCGGACAAGAATCATTCACGGATGTTGAAACAAGCGTGTGACACTGCATCAGGGAACAGGATATTTACATCGCCACCAACAATCTCCTTGGGCCACTTGCTACAAAGAGGAATACTCAATATCGGAAAAACCTGGCTCAAAGTCAGTGTCACTACTCATGGGACAAGCTGGTGTCATGTGCCTCCTGATAATAACACATGCGAAGGACAGTGTCACCTAGGTGATACTCTGCCAGAAATGCACAACCTGACTCACATCACGAAGAGCAGAAACACCCGTATCGAGGGACCTCCTACAATACAGCTGGCCCAGGTGCTTCCAAAATGTTAAAGTCACAAGGACAAAGAAAGGCCAAGGGACCATTCCAGTGAGCAGGGCCAGGACAACTTGGGGTCCTGGCCTGGAGCCTGGAGCCGAAAATCACATGAGCTGCAAAGGTTGTCATTGGGACAATCTGGGACTTTAAACATAGACTGTTTAGAATTGTAACAATGTCAAAGCCTCTGATTTGGAGAACTGCACTGTGCTTACCAAAGAAAATAGGCTTGTTTTTAGGAAATACACACCGAAGTTCCTAGAGATTTCGTGTCTGCTCTGGACGCTCAAATAGTTCAACAAACGTAATAATAAATTATTCCCAGTAGAAATAATTACACAGAGTAAACGTGGCAAATCATTGATCTTGGAGAAGGACATGTAGTTCTTTGTTCTATTCTTGCAGGGAAGGGAGAGTGAAGCGGGGGGATTCTTCAAAGGGCTGCAGTGGTTACGGAGAAACCCCTGGAATGTGATTGCTCGGTCTTGCTCAGTGGTTGCCCTGGGTGATCACAGTCAAAATGACATCTCTGTTTCTTTCTTTCTTTTTTTCTTTAAGATTTTATTTATTTATTTTTAGAGAGAGGGCAACGGATGGAGAAAGGCAGAGAAACATCGATGTGAGAGAAATAGCGACAGGTTGCCTCTCATACGTGCCCTGACCTGGAACGAAACCTGCAGCCCAGGCCTGTGCCCTGGCTGGAATCAAACCCATGACCTTTTGCTTTGCAGGATGACACCCAACAGCCACTGAGTCACACCAGTTAGGGCTCTTTCTTTTCTTTTTTTTTAATACGTATTTTTTTTAAAAAGACTTTATTTTAGAGAAAGCGGAAGGGAGAGAAAAAGAGAGGGAAAGAAAGAACTGCCTCTTGCATGCCTCCCACTGGGGACCTGGCTGGGGACCTGGCCCTCAACCCAGGCATGTGCCCTGACTTGGAATCGAACCAGAGACCCTTTGATTCACTGGCTGGCACTTAATCCACTGAGCCACACCAGCCACGGCAAGGGCTCCTTTTTTTTTTTTTTTTCTTTAAATCCTCACCCAAGGGTATGTCCATTCACTCCAGAGAGAAAGGAAGAGAGAAACATCAATTGGTTGCCTCCCATATATACCCTGACCTGGGATTGATCCCACAACCTTCTGGAATATGGAACGACACTTCAACCAACTGAACCACGCAAGCCAGAGCTCTGCTTTCTTTTTGGGAGCATCCTGAAATACTCCCTGGGTCTCCATTCCCTCTGAACTAAAGTAAACCCATGGCTTCATCAATTCCGTATTCGCAACCTGAGTATTAGAAAAAGGCAGGTTGCTCCTGTCCTCTCCTCCACCCCAGCGGGACCCAAGGGGGCCCCTGACCTTCTGCAGTTTGCGGTCCACGTTCAGATAGTGATTCCTCTCAATCAGTAGGAGATCCAGCTCCTCCCTCAGGGCTGCATTCCGCACCAGCTGGATATCAAAGCGACAGGTGACCTGGGGACGGAGCGGGGAAGGGAGCAGGGCGTGGGATAGGCGGCCAGGAGGGGGCGCTTGTCAGATAAGGGGCCTGTTTGCAGTTTGGGGACCCTGAGAGCACCGCCCAGGCCCACCTTAAAGGCGCAGCATCGGTCTCCTTTCCTGGGGGGTCCTCCATGCCTCCAGGATCCTGCCTCCCGGCCCCCTCAGGGAGCCCAGCGTTTCAGGCCTTCCCACATCCAGGGATCCGGCCTTCTGTGCCCAGAACTTGACCCTGTGCTCATCCTTCCCCCGGCCCCAGCGTTCAGGCCTGGAAAGAGCCAAGAGGCTGACCCCTCACCTTGTCCAGCTGGTCTTCCATGACCTTGATCCTTTTCCGGATCTTGGCCTTCTGATCCAGCAGGACTCCCGGGCTCCTGCCATCCTTGCTGCGAACAGCGATCCGGGTCTCCCACTCCTTGATCTGGAGAAAAGGGGAGGATCCCTGTGTGCTGGCTGAATGCGAGGGAGATTGAAAGAGCAAGGACAAAGATGAGCGGGAGGGGGAGTGGCGGAACGTGGCTGACAATGGCCACCCTTGCTCTACCCTTCTGCTGACAGTCCCCAACCTTCCATGTGGGTCTGGCTTCCAACGACAAGAAGCCACCCTGCCAGCCACACGACTCAGGTTTGCACGATCACGAGCCTGGTCTAGAGATGGAGACGTACCCAGGCGGAGCCAGCCTGCACCCTTTCTCGGTAATTGAGGGGAACTGAATGAGCTGGATGGATGGGACTCCAGGACTTCCACTGCCCTAGTCCCCACCACATGGAGCATCCTGGGAGTATGAGGCCAGTAGACACAGTGGAGATAAGAGGCTGGCAGATAGTGAGAATGAGCCTGATGCCATTAGAGTCCCAGGTCTGTTACGCAGACACCGGCTTCCAGCCTGTCCCCATGTGTTGCAGAATTGCATACCTGAAACCTATATAATTTTCTTAACCAAGGTCACCCCAATACATTCCATTTTTTTAAAAAAGAATTTGTATGTTGAAGTGCTAATCCCCAAGATGGAAAAATGTGGCCTTACCTGGGGACAGGACCTGTACAGAGCTAATCAAGTTAAAATGAGGCCATTAGGGTGGGCACTCAGCTAGCAGGACCGAGGCCTTTGCACACACAGCTGTACACACGGGGAGAACACCACGTGAACATGGAGGCAGAGATCGGGGTGATGCTGCTGGGCCACACCAGCCAGGGCCACTTTGCATTTTCCAGAGTTTTACATGAAATGGAATCACATAGTACATATTCTCTCTTGAGGAGAGGGCTCTGGCTTCGTTTACTCAGAACGGTTGTTTTGAGATTCATCCATGTTGTTGGGTGTACCAACCACCCATTCCTTTTCAAGAATTTGGTGAGTAGTGTTCCATTAAATGCATATACCACTACTTGTTTATCCATTCATCTGTCGGTAGACATTTGGATTGTTTCTATTTTGAATTTTACAAGTAAAGTTGTTATGAACATTCATGTATAATTCATCATATGAACATATGCTTTCTTATCTCTTGGATAAAGACTTATATGGCAGGTGTATGTATAGTTGCTTAGAAACTACCAAACTGTTTTTCAAAGCGGTTGTTCCATTTACATTCCCACCAGCATGGTACGAGAGTTCTAGTTCCTCCGCATCCTCGTCAACGCTTGGTGTGGTCAGTCTTTTTCATTTCAGCCATTCTAACAGGCGTGTAGACATCTCATTCTTTTAATTCGCATTTCCCTAATGACTAATACTGCTGAGCATCTTTCATGTGCTTATTGCCATCTTGTATATTTGGCGAAGAGTCTCATGAAGTCTTTTGCCCATTTTTCTTACTGGGTTGTTTGTTTCACATTGTGTTTAAGGGTTTCTAATATATTCTAGATACAAGTTTGATGATTTTTTTCCCATCAGAAATGTGCTTTGAAAATATTTTCTCCCATTGTAGGGCTTGTCTTTTCATTCTCTGAGCTATATCTTTTGAAAAAAATAAGTTTTAAAATTTTATGGAGCCTAATATATCAGTTTGGCCTTTTATGGATCATGCTTTTGGTCTCACATCTAAGAAACCTTTGCCTAACCTAAGTTCACAAAGATTTTCTCTTATGTTTTCTTCCAGAAGCTTGAGGTTTTACATTTAGATCTATGATGGTTAACGTCATTTTTTTTCCCTTTAAAATGTTATCATATACAGAAAAGTGCACACAGATCCTGTATGTACAGTGTATTTTATATATTTTTTAAAGAATTTTTTTAATTAATTAATTTTTCTTTAAAAAGGGGAAGGGAGGGAGAAAGAGAGGGAAAGAAACATCAATGTGTGATTGCCTCACACACCCGCTACTGGGGACCTGGCCCGCAACCCTGGCCTGTGTCCTGACTGGGAATCCAACTGCGACCCTTTAGTTTGCAGGCCGGCACTCAATCCACTGAGCCACAGCAGCTAGGGCCGTGTGTGTGTGTGTGTGTGTGTGTGTGTGTGTGTGTGTGTCTTTAAGTGAGCATCCTTGAACCCCCAGCCAGGTCAAGGACTAGAGTACTGACCACACTGTAGATGTGCCCTTCTCATCTCTACTGTCTTCCTCTCCACAGAGGGACCACTATCTTGCCTGTTTGTTCCCATTGCTGCTGTAAGGAAGGACCACAGACTTGCTGCCTGGAGGTCAGACGCTCAAAGTCAGTTTCACTGGGTTAAAAAATAAGGGGTCAGTTGGGCTGTGTTCCTTCCAGAGGCTCCAGTAGAGAATTCATTCCTTGCCTTTTCCAGCTTTGAGAGGCTGGATTCCCTGGTTTATGATTCCTGGGCTTGTGGCCATTCCAACCTCTCTTTCTATAGTTATACCTCCTCTCTCCATCACATTCTTTTCTCTGATCCTGACCCTTCTGCTTCTCTCTTTTAAGGACCCTTGTGGTTACATTGGGCCCACCCAGATAATCCAGAATGATCTCTCCATTTCAAAATCCTTAGTCTTTTGTCATTCACAGGTTCCAGAGATTAGCACAATGACATCTTCAGGGGAAGGGTCATTATTGCTTCGTTAAATGAATTTTTTTACTTTATGGATTTTTTTTTTACTTTTCTTTTTGTTTTATCACCATATATTTAACTCCCTAAACAAATGTTTGGTTTGGCCTGATTTTGAATTTTATGTAAATAAAATAATGCTACTTATATAGTTTATGTCTTGCTTCCTTCAAATGTGAAATTTATCCTTGTTCACCCTGGCTGGTGTGGTTCAGTTGGTTGGAGCGTAGTCCTGTAACTGAAAGGCTGTGGGTTCAACCCCCAGTCAGGGCACATGCCTAGGTTGCAGGTTCAATCCCCGGCCCAGGCACATGTGGGAGGCAACCAACTGATGTTTCTCCCATCGCTGTTTCTTTCTCCTTTCCTCTCTCTCTAAAAGGAAGGGGAAAAAAATGCCCTTGGGTGAGGATTTTTTTTTAATGTGAAATTCATCCTTGTTGCTGTGTATAATTGTGATTCATTTGCTTTTCATTGTTATATACTATTTCATTATAAAAACATACCACAATTTGTTTATTCATTTGATATTGATGGACATTTTGGTTGTTTCCAGTGTGAAGCTAGTTATAGGAATAATGCTTCTTTCAAGAAGTCCTGGTTCTAGCATATATGCTCAGAAGCATAATTGCTGGGTGGAAGGAAAAATTAACAGATTAAACCTGTTTTCTATTAGAAGATGGCTTTGGTTTACTTTCTTCCAACACGGTTTCCATGGAAACATACTGGGGTAAGGTAAATATGGAATGCCAGCTGTGTTCCCAGGCAACAATGTTTCTTATAAAAATGACCCCTGAAAGAACAGTGAGTTCATGGATCCCAAGGTCCTACATGACTAAGACTGAATAGAAATCTGGTTTCTCTGTGGGGCATTTCTTATAACTGAGTATGTTTCCGGTGGGGCTTAGAAGCTACCCTCGTGAGCTGTTACAAGAGGTGGCTCCTCTTGTGTATGAAGCTTCGCTATGCCAGGGTACGCAGCACCCACATGCTCATGTGATACCCTCCAATCGGAGGTGCTGAGAAACAGCCCCTTGGACCCTCAAGAAAGACATGTTTGATGCTGTTGTTTCCAGTCCTCTGTCCTCCTACAAAGTCAAGTAAACCCGGTGCCAAGTTCTAGCCTGCTCGATCCCAAGGCTGCTTCTGGTGACCGTGCCAAGTGCATGCAACTGGGTATCTCGGGGTATGTCCATCTTCAAATGTAATAGGTAATAGGGGAAAAAAACTTTCCAGAATACACATGACAATTTATACTCTCACCAACCGCTCCTAAGAGTACCCACTGTTCCTTCTCTCCCCCGCATTTGGTATGTTTGGACACTACTTTTTGAAAATCCAGTGTTTAATGGTATCTCATGATTTTCATTTGCCTTTCTCTGATTACTGAGTGATGATAATTCCTACATTTATTGGACATCAGAATTTCTTATTTTATGACACATCAGCTCAAATCCTGTGTGTGTGTGTGTGTGTATGTAGGTATGTAAATAGGCGTACTCTTTAATGATTTGTAACAGTGCCTTATATGATCTTGATTCCAGTCCTTTGTCAGCTGTATTGCAAATACCCTTCCATTCTGAGACTTTGTACACCATTTGTGGTTCTTTTGACAGACACTATTAACTTTAAAATCATGACATGTATCAATATTTTTTTTCAGAAGTAGAGATTTCTATAACTTAAGAAATTCTTCCCATCTTCCTAGCTTTAGACCTTTGATCCATCTGGAATTGGTTTTGGGAGTACAGAGTGTGAGGTAAGGATCTTGTTTCATTTTACAGTACGGACATACATATCCTCCATTTCCCATTTCTTGAAGTCATATATCAAGTGTCCACATGTGGATAAGCCTCTTTTGAGGCTCTCTATTCTGTCCTTTCGACCCATTTGATTAGCCCTGCATCAATTACAAGAATTAAATCTTCATACCTGGTGGAGCAAATCCTTCTACATCATTCTTCTTTTACGCCAATCTTAGTCATTCTGTTCATTGCATTTCCCTATAAAGCGTAGAATACGCTGGTCAGTTCCATCCAATTAAAAAAAAACAACTTTTATTTTCTTTTTTCAGGTTTTAAAACTTTTTATTTACATATATTTAAAAAATTGTGCAGTCCAATAATTAAAATCATTTTAACAACAACAACAAAAAAACGGCACTCTGATTAAACTGCATTTTACAGCCTGCAGGATACCTTGGACCAGCTTGGTTTTTATTCTAGATTTCACTGTCGTTTCCCACCCCCAGCTTCTTCCTTCATCAACATGCAAGTTGTTTTCCTTCCCTGCCAACCAGAGAGGCAGATGTGAGAGGCAGGCACGGCCTTCATTGTCAGTAGCCGTGATGTGAAAAGGGGTGGCACAGTCATTTAAACTGATCCAACCTCTTTGCACCTTACAAAGTTAAACAGCTAAAAGAAGTAAAAAAAGAAGGCAATGCTTGTGGAACATGCAGTGCATATTGGCGGTGCGGGCCTCATTACAATTCGCCTGCTTGCTTCTCCTGTTCAATCGTCTTTCGAGGCAGTGGATTTTTCTCTTGCATTTCAGTCCTCTTCAGCTATGACTTATCGAATTTCTCAATCTCGGCCATACCGGGTTTATCAGACATGGTTGTTGAGGAAGCAGAGGAGGCAGCAACGAAGATAAGTCTGATCTGGAGGGAGGCGAGTGAGGGAGATAAGTCCAATCTGTTCTGTGACCTCCACCGAATCAAAAAAAAAGCTTTTAGTTCTTTGACTGGGATTACATTGAATCCATAAATCTACTTGGAGATCTGATATTTTACAACACTAACTCTTCCAATTCATGAATACGGTATATCTTTACATTTGTTAAGTTTTTCTTTGGTATTCCTCAATAAAGTTTACAATTTACTCCATAGAAGTCTTGCACACTTTTGTTAGATTTCTTCGTAGGGACTTCTTTTGGCTATTATAAATGTCTTTTCTTCTCTTTTATTTCCTAATAGTTACTGCTAATACAAGGAAATGTCATTAACTTTGCATATTAATTTTGTATCCAGCCACATTGTTAAAATATCTTGTGAATTGTTAAGTTAGCATTAGATCCTTTTGAATCTTCTATGTACACAAATATACCATCTACAAATAATAGCAATTTCATGTCTTCTCCTCTAACCTTTAAATTGTTCTTTTTCTTTTCCTTGCCATACAGCACTGGATAGGATATCCAGGACAATGTTAAATAGAAGTCATACTAGCAGACATCCTTATATTGTTACTGATCTCAAAAAGATTTTTTTCATGCTTTACCATTAAATATGTTTGCTCTATATTTAATGTATAAGATGCTTTATAGTTGCCCTTTATCAAATTCAGGAAACTTCCTTTTATTCCTGGCTTTCTAAGAGTTTTCAACATGAATGTAGTTGCTGAATTTTATCAAATACTTGTTTATAACTATATAGACTGGTACTATGAACAGGAACAAGTCCAAGCAGTATCTGTTATCAGTCTCCAATGTGATAGGTTCAAAAAGTGAAAGTAAGCATTTAGAAAGTGTTTTTTGGGTTCTGTTGAATTCATCTGTCAAGTCATATAAGACACAAGATTTTTGAGAAATACCATGTCCAACTCTACATTTTTCTTTGCTATGAAATGTCTATTCTGCTCTCTTGTTTGTGAATATTTTCACTGGGCATAGAATTCTAAGTTGACAGCTTTCCCTCTTTTGGATTCTAAGGCATCCTTGAATCTGTGGATTTCTTCTTTCATTGGTTCTAGAATATCCTCAGGTATTAACTTGTCACATATTACCCCTGTCCCATCATTCTCTTTCTATTCCCCTTAAATTCTTATTAGACATATAGTTAACCTCACTGTATCTGCAATGTCTCTTAACCACCCTTCCATATTTCCTATTTTTTGGTCTCTCTGTGCTGGATTCTGGGTGAGTTCTTCTGAACAGACCCTTTCTTCAGTTTTGATTTGGCTTCTTATCTGTCTCTCCAGCAGAATAACGACATGAGAGAGGAGTCCTTATCTGCTTTGTTCACTGCTATGTTCTTGAAACCTAGAACAGTGCCTGGTACTTAGTAAGCACTCAATAAATATTTGATGATAAATGAATGTCACCAGATAACTACATCCTTTCTTGGCCTTGTGGGAAAGTTTATGGAGCTCTCTTCTAGGGACCCTATCCCCCACCTGGCATAATTCTCCACAATCAAGTTTATTAGGGCAAAGGAATTCATGGGTCAAGATAACAAAATTGCCCCGCTTGCGTCTGACTCCACTGAGTTTTCCTCATGGAGGACTAGGGAAAACTAACTCAAGTGAACACCCACTAAGCCACTGTACTGCCAGGAGACGGCTGGAAGTGTGGTGTGTGTGAATCAAGATTCAGCCTCCAAAAGGCAGTTAGGGTGATGTTGAGAGCTGAACAAACAGATCAATTGGAAGTCAAATGTAGTAACTATAGACCATGTGGTAGACAGAATAGTGCTCCCCTCCCCGCCCCTGCAAAGCTGTCCATATCCTAATCTCTAGAACCTGTGAATATGTGACCTTAACTGGCAAAAAAGGACTTTGCAGATGTAATAAATTAAGGATGTTAAGACGGGAAGATTATCCTGGATTATCTGGGTGGGCCTAATATAATCACAAGCAGCCTTTTAAGTGAAAGAGGAACAGAATCAGAAAAGAGGAGATGACAAAAGCAGAAGTCAGAGTGACTCAGCATAAGAAAAACTCAACTGGTCATGGATGGCTTAAAAGCTAAAGAAAGGAGACTTGAGTCAAGGGATACAGGCGGCCTCTCTAGGAGCTGGAAAAGGCCAGGAAGTAGATTCTCCCTGAAGCCTCCAGAGGGAACACAGCCTTGTTGAAACTGATTTTAGCCCAGTGGGACCCATTCTGGATTTCCTTCAGCACCATAAGATACTTAATGTGTATTATTTTAAGCCACCCAGTTGATAATTTGTTACAGCAGCAACAGAAAACTAATACAGACCACCAAGATGCATACCTTTCAAACTCCTGTTTGTGATCCCAGAGTGTGCAAGAAATCACTTGGTCTAGGCAAGCAACTTTTTTTAATGAAGAGGAGAAAAGACAGTAACAATGAATCCCACAGAGAAAAAAGTATGATTTGATGAAACTTTTGTTTCAGATAGACATATGTGTGTGTGTGTGTTTATATCCATGTGCATCTGTGTGTGCATCACTAGTCATTGTCATAAAAAACTGAAAGAACGCTGCTGTAGGAAAGTCACATAGTTTCCAAGGTCAAAAAGCAAGACCTTGAGGCAGGTGGGATTAGATACCTGTCTAGACCAACATCCTCTTTTTGCAGATGTAGGAACTAGGGTCCTGAGAGGGGAAGTCTTGCCTGTGGTAATACAGCTCTGACAAGGCAGGGCCAGGATTCTAAGACAGGTGGCACCGACTCCAGAAGGGGACTCTTTCCCCTTCGCTGCACCAGCCCCGTGACCATGTGGGACTGTGCTCATCACTAAACACCCAGACTCCCACTGGAGCCTGAGCACCACTCTCTCAGGCACATGCTTTCGATAACCCCAGTTTTCAGAGCAGGAAGCTAAGGTTCAAAGTGGTTAAGATATTTGCCCAAAGTAGGGTCCACAGAGTCTGGTCTCAGAACCCACCTGCCTGTCCAGGGCTCTGGTCTGCTCCTGCAGCTCCTTGATCTCAGCCTGCACCCGGGCCCGGCACTTCAGCAAGTGGCCCATGTTCTCCAGCCTCTCGTTGTCCCGCAGGCGCTTGACCTGGCTCTGGGCAACACTGATCTGCATCTGAAGTTTGTCCCGCAGCTCCTGCAGGCGCTGGATCTCCTCACTGTCCAGGCAGGGAGGTGGAGGGGAGGCCCGCAAGGAGCAGAGTTCAGCATCATTAGAGGCTGGACACACTGGGCCTGCCCACCGCTTTGGGCCCAGGAGGCCAGCCCCCAGCCCCTGTAACATCCCCTTCTCCAGCTCTGAGATGCAGTCACTTGGCTCACAGTTGCTTATTGATGCGCTGGTGGACTTCCTTGCTGTAGGCCCGCCTTTCACCCTCCATCACTTTGCACTGTCGCTGCAGTCGGCTCAGTTCCCAATCTACTGAGGGAGGGGTCCGGTGAGGGACTCAATAGGAATCTAGGTCCTCTCCTCCCCAGGACCTAGGAATCCTGGATCCCTTAGGATCTCATAAGCTGCAACTGAACTGCAGACCCAGTCCCCAGCACCGCTCTAGGACTGTCTCAAGAATTCTCCTCCCTTCATACTCCCCTGTACCCCAAGCGGACCTGGAGACTTGCCCCGCTAAACCCACTTCCTCGCCGGGCTGGGCATACATCTGTTGAGCCACTAGAGGGCGCTCCTGGAAGGCCTCGTGGTCCTCAGGGACCCACCGCATGTGACTAGAACTCGGGAAAGCTGAGGACTGGTGACCAAAAGAGCATTCTTGCTGCCTCCCTCGCCTTCAGCCTCCACTGCCCAGCCTTCCTCAGTCCCACTCTCCATCCTCCTCATTCTCAGGCCACCTCCTAGGCTCAGGCCTCACCCTCTCCTGTCTGGACCATAGCCCCAGCCTCCTCACAGATGGCCCAGCCTCCCCTCACAGCCCCGGGGGGTCTTTTTACCCCCGGAATGGACCCTGCCCCTTCCCCGCACACAGGCCTCCCCTGCCGCTCCAGCGCCCTCAGGACAAAATCCCAGCTCCTCAGCCTGGGGTTCAAGGCCCCATATGACCTGGCCCTGCCCACCTCTCCAAGCCTCCGCCTCCAGCTCGCCCCCTCCCATGGCCCAGTGGTTCCCAACCCGGAGCGATTCTATCCCCCGTGGACATTTGGCAATGTCTGGAGACATTTTTTGATTGTCGCGATGTGGGTGCACGTGTGGGGGTGCAGAGGGAGCTGCTGGCACATGCTGGATAGAGGCCAGGGATGCTGTTAAGCACCCTACAGCACACAGGACGGCCCCCACAACAAAGGATTATCTGACCCAACTGTCAACAGTGTAGAGGTTGAAAAACCCTGCTCTAGCCACATGCTGTTCTTTCTGCTGAAATTTTTCCTTCCTTCCTGCTTGGTAATTATGCTTGGTAATTCTGGGGAGTTCCGGGCCCCTCTCAAACGTCTCCTCCTGCAGGAAGTCTTCCTGGCCCACCCCAACAGCTCCACCTCCAATCCTGCACATGTGCTCCCCCATCGCAAAGGGCTCTCCAGAAAGGCCCCCCTGTTCCTGGGACCCTGCAATACAGAGCCTGGGACTTGGGAAAACTGCGGGAAAGAATGCGTGAAGTAAAAAACATAGGATTTACCCATTCCCTCCAGGAAGGCCTCGCTTCCATCCTCGGAGCGCGTGCTCCCTGCAGAAAATCCTGAAGGCATCTTAGCCAGAGGGTGGGATCCCTTCAGTGAGCGGAGAGGGCCGGAGGGCGGGGGGGGGGCGGCGAGCAATGAACAGTGAGGGACTGAGATCGGAAGGGGACCCCAGAACCAGCTCTAACCCCTCCCTGACACCCAGTTCCTGGCCTCTCCCCACACTCCCCCCGACGTCCTGCCTCTCACACCCTGTGTTGCTCACACGGCGGCTCTGAGTCTGGCGCCAGGCACTGATCCCCTAGACTCCCGGGATCTTTGAGGCCGACAATTTGGGGAGGGGATCACAGACGAAGGGAGAACCCCGGACCGCTGTGCCGAGTGAGGCCCGGCCCCTACCTGTTGGAGTGCCTGCCCTGTTCTTGGTGCTCTGAGCTCACTGTTGTGGTTTGGTTACTGGGGAGATAAGAGGCCAATGAGGCTAGAGGAGAGCGGCCGGGGAGGGACCGAGACCGCGAGGAGAGGCGTGGGAGGGGAAGCTGGAAGGAGTGGCGGGGGAGGCGGTGAGAAGACCCGCTGGGATCTCCGAGGTTTTAAATAGGAGCCGCACGACGGTCGGGGCTGGGAGGCGTGGGGGACAGGGCGGGGCCGGGGGCGGGGGGGCCTGAAGGGCGGAGCTGGGAGGGCCTGAGAGGGTTGAGGCGGTGCGGTGGGGACGCGGGCACCTATGAAAGGGCCGAGTTGCGGGGGACGGTGAGGGCACCTGAGGAGGGCGGGGCTTCAGGGGCCGGCTAGGGGCGTGGCTAAAAGAACACCTGAGGACCCCTGTGGGAGGGCGCTGAAAGGACACCGGTTCTCAAGACCTGTGGAGGTGGGCTTGCCAGGCGGCACCCTGACTGGAAGGGCCTGTGGGTGATCGGAATGGTCTGCTTGTGAGGGGCGGGCTGTGTGTATCCCGGAATAAGGAGGCAGGAGCTGAAAGATCCTGTGATGGCAGGCCTGAGGCGGAAACGTCTGGAAGGCCCTGGAGCTAGGCCGAGACCTTCGGGACCTGCCCGAGAGAAGCGTGTCTTAAACAGATGAAGACCACGTTTATCAGGGAGGCGGTGCTTGCGCCAGGTATAGCGAGAAGGGGCGCTCACCACCTTAGGTCCTCGCAGCGGCTGATTACGCATGCGCGGCTAACGGCCTCCAGCGAAGCCGCAAAAAAATCCTCTGCTGCCCAGAGATCGCGCAACAGAGGCGGGAGTGGGCGTGGTCTCGGGTGGGCTCCGCGCCTCGCCCCGCTCCCTGCCACACCCCACGAGGCCACACCCAGCACCACAGGGCACGCCCCCTCAGCGGACTGAGGCTGCCCACGTGGGTCTCCCAGAAGCGGGCGGGCAGTGGGCGACGCTCTCTGCAGGCTGGGTGTGCCTGCCGCCTGCGGTTTCCTGTGGGAGGAAGCGGCCCGCGGGCACTCAGCTCAGCTCTAGCTTGGGAGGCCCAGGATGGGGAGATCCTCCACAGCTTTCAAGTCCTCTAATTCTTCCCCTTTTACGGAGTCCTAGCATGTGGGGACCCCCCCGAACATCACCAGTATACACAAGTATGGCGCTGATACCACTCAGGGAACTTGATGCCGAGCCCTGCCCCCTTGTTCTACACTTGGCCTGCTCTAATTTTAATCTCCCTAACTCCTGGTTCCTAGACTCCTCCCCAGACCAGATCTGTCCCTCTGGCCCCCTTTGCCTGCACTCCCTGGAAAGCACGTGACCCTCTAGCCCCTAATTTTCTCCTCAGTGACCCAGAATTTCTAACTTGCTTGGGTTTCCTCAGTTCAGACCCCCCAGTTTCTGTCCTCAAAGACTTAAGTTTGAGACTACCTACCTATTTCCCAACCCCAGTGTGGGGTAGCTCAACACGGCCCCTTCCACCACCCCTGATGAGAAGAGAATGTGTACCGTTTGGAGAATGGATTATAACTCCCTCCTTAACTCCTTTTGTGAGTGGCTTCTAGTCGTGTGAACTGGTTCTTGCTGCACATACACACTAAGGTACTACGTGTAGCTCCGAGCCACACGTAGGTTTGTGCAACCTGGACCCGTGCTGCCTTTGGGACCCCTTATAATGAGCCTCAAACTGGAGGAGGTGCAGTCTCTCGCACCGATCCATCGTTGGGTTTTTTTTGGAACATCATTAACATTTAAGCAGCTCCCTGGTTTCAGGCTCCGGTGCTACACCCAGGGACCCTCATTTTATACTCCAACTTGTTAGTCTTGAAACCCAGTGGACCCAAGAATTTACCCCTTCTACAAATTCTCACAATCTTGTTGATGGGGTCTCCCAGTACTGAACACACTCAGCCCCCCAATGCCAAATATAACTAGCACATACAACAGTGCTTATGATGTGCCAGGCACTACTCTAAGAACTACCTTATGATGCATTCACTATTATCCCTATTTTACAGATAGAAAGACTGAGGCATAGAGAGGTTATTAGTAACTTGCCCAAAATCACAGCTAGTGAGTAAAACATCTAGGATTTGAATCCAGCCCGTGTGTCTATGCTATATGGTACCCCAGCTTCCAGGTCTCCCGGGTACCCATCCAGTCACTGAACTGCCTTCAGGGAGCCTGAGTGACCAACCACTCTCCCGCCCCCAGCTCTGGCCCGATCAGATCATCCAGTTTCCTTCCTGTGCAGGGACCCAGAATTTCAGTTCTCCAGCTCTCAATTCCATATCAAGACCCCAGATACCTGGTCCCCTGTCCCTCACTATTCACCATCACCCAGGCCTTCCAAGAGACCCAGGTATATAGTAGTACTACATCACCCCTCACTTGAATTCAATAATCCAAGAATTATCCACAATAATAGTTAACATTAAGTCCGTGGTACTGCATGTCTGTTTAAAACCTTGCAATGACTTCCCATTGCACTTAGAATATAGTCCAAACTCCTCCCCTAGTCTTCAAGGGCCCTCTTTGATGTCTTTTCCTACCCTCCCTCTAGCTCCCTATATTCCAGACACACTGGCCCTTCTGTCTGCTGCTCCCCGAACAGCCTGAGCTTGTTCTCAGGAGCATTTGCACTTCCTCTTTGCCCAGCATTCAAATGACTCCTGTCTTCAGGTCCCAGCTCAGATGTCACCTCCTTGGAGAGGCCTTGCCTGACTGCCCTGTTTAAAGTAGGCTCCCCCACACCATCATTATTTCCGTCACTCTATTTTATTTCCTTCAAGGCACTGATCGCTATCTGAAATGTATCTTCTTTATTGATATGTTTTCTCTTTCTTGTCTGTCTCCCTCTACTAGGAACGTAAGCGCCACAGTAAGAGTCGGCTCACATCTGTTTTTTTCATTATTAACTCCTGGTTCATAAAAGATGTTCAATAAATGTTTGATGAAGTAAGGAACAAATGTGTTAGGAGTGTTAATGTACCCGTATTACCTTACTAATTTAGAATAAGTATCAGACCTGTACTATCAGTAGTAGCAGTATATTGTCAGTGGTATTAGTATTGTTATACCCACAGATTAGGAAACCCAGGCTCAGAGAGTAATCAATCAGGGACCCCCGGGCAGGAAATGGTAGCGCTGGGATTCTTAATCTCTACCTCCTGCCCCCTCCCAGATTTCCCCACTTCCCCATTTCCCATCCCAGACCCCTACCATGGTGCCAACTCCCCCGACCCTCGGCCCACTCAACACTGCAGGACCTGGCCTCCTCCCTCGGACTCCCATCCTCTGAGTACCCAGTTCTAAGCCCCATCAAGGAAAGCAGGCGTCGGTCCCAGGTCCCAGGACGAGACCCAGAGCGCAGGCCTGAGAAGGCCTGAGAGCCCGGCCTTCCAGGCCGCTGATGCTTGCCCCGCTTCAGGGCTCCAGCTCCGCTCTCCTCCGCCCAAGAGCTTCTCATCTCAACCCTAGGAGGAAGCCCCAAAAGATGCGTGTCTGGGACAGTGGGCGGGGCTCAGAGAATGAAGAACCCGAGTGCCTGGGCCCTCCCTCTGGCTGCAGACCTCAGCTGGGTGCGGTGAGGGTGGGTATAAAAGGGTCAGCTTATATTGGGAGGAGCAGAGAAGGCCAGAGAGTGAGGGAGAGAGAAGGAATAAGGTATAGGCAAGTGAGGACAGGAGAGAGGGGGAGAGAGAGAAAGAGAGAGCGAGCGAGCCTTCTGGTATTGGAGGGAAGAAGGACGGAGGGAGCCAGAGGGGAGCGCGCGGGAGGGAGGCAGGCAGCGAGGGAGGCGGGGGCCTCGAGAGGGTGGAAGGAGGGAGGAGAAGGGCGGGGCACAGAGGCCCGAGCGAGGGACCGACTCCAACTCTGACTTTTTCCGCCGCTCTCGGTAAGTTTCCAGTCCGTTATCCGGGCTGGGTTGTTTTTTTTTAAATTTACTTGGGAGTGCAGCCGTTCGGGAAGGACACCCCCGTGGAAATCCCCCTTGGAAATTCAGACGTGGTCTTTTAGCCCTTGGGGTGCGGATTCAGAAAGGGGTGGAGCCCAGCCAGGTTTGGGGGGCTCCCGGCAGAGCCCTCCTCCTGAAAATGTCCTGTAGGTTTTTCCCCCACTGCTGTCCACTCTCCCCCGAGGGCCCTGGGAGCAGGACCCTGAATGCGAACACCCCGCCTCAGGGCGCTCTCCCGGCACCCTCCCCTTTCTGGACGTTGAAGGGTGGTGCCCGGCTGGTTCCTTCTTCTCAGGCCTGTCTCCCCCAAACACCGATCCCGTCCACTTTCCCACCAAGATGCCCAGCAGGCACCAGCCTGGCAGCGGGGTGGGGTGGGGACCTCGTGGGCACAGCCAGGGGCTGGGGTTTCCCTGGTACTTGGAGGCTGAAGGGTCGGATGAGTCACCCATGACTCACCCGGAACCCCTCCTCCCCCCTCCCCAGGAGAGGGGTGGGGTGAGTCAAGGATGCCTGTCTCTTGGGGCAGCCCACAGCTTCCGATAAACCTGGAGGGGTTTCAACTTGAATTTTCATATCCTGATTCATATGCACCCAGGGAGAGGGCTCTGAGGACATGGGTGAGGGGTGCCATTGCTAGTTCTACTCCTTCCTGGACTCGAGAGCCCAACCCTGGCCCTCTGCAGCCCCCGGGGAATTCAGGCGTCCGGCCCGCAGCCTCCTTTTCCCTCAGAACCAGGAGTCCTGGCCTCTAGCCCCCTCCTCCCTCAGACCCAGGAGTCTGGAATCAGCCCCTTTCTCCACGAGGACTTGGGCATTTCACCCTCCCCTGCGCCAGCCTCTTGAAACGACCATCTCCTGACATGTCCCCTACCCCAGGCTCCCACCACAGCCATGTCACTCCTCCTGCTGGTGGTTTCTGCCCTCCACATCCTCATTCTCATCCTGCTTTTCGTGGCCACTTTGGACAAGGTAAGCGTACACGGCGCGGCAGCTGCGGCGGCGGCAGCAGCAGCAGCAGCGGCGGCCTCCTCAACCCCCTGCAGCCTCCTGCCACGCCCCCCCCACCCCCCCGCTAAAGGCACCCGCCCCGCCCCTTTCCCCAAGCTTTTGCCTCGGAAGCCTCCACCCTGCCCCTTTCCCTGACCTTCTCCCCTTTCCCGTTGAATCCATTTCCCCTCAGTTCAGCCCCTTCTCGATGCCACACCCTTTTTTAACCGTTCCCACAGACTTTCTGACCCCTCTCACTTTCCTTTCCTATCCCGGCCCTTGTTCTCTGCCCGTCCAGTCCTGGTGGACCCTCCCTGGACAGGAGTCCTTGAATCTTTGGTATGACTGCACATGGATCAAGGACAACAAAACGTGGGCCTGCAGTAATGTCAGCGAGAATGGTGAGGGGCAGCAGGGGACTGGTCTGCAAAGGGGAGGGGTAACCTCAAGTCTCTTCCCGGGACCCAGGATCGAGAACCCACCAAGGTTGGAGTCGGCAGGGCTGGATTTTGATGCTGAGTGAGTGGGGCTGATGTATGAATGGCCTATCTCTGTATAGGGGGCAATATGCCCATGTTCTAAAGAGGATGAGCTAAAAGCCTCCCACTCTGATGATTCAGAAAGTGTGGAGGCCACATGCTATAGCTGAACCCTTCCAAGGTTCTAAAGGAGGGGGAGTGGCAGATACATATGAGTTCTGAAGGGGCCGAGTTACACCCGTCGAAATTGCTAAGTCAAAGAAGGTGAAAGGTGAAATGTGTTTCCCCCTAAGAGTGAAGCAAGAATTTCTGTTCTCACAACTTATATCCAGTGTTGTACAGGAGGTAGCCAATGCAACAAGGCAAGAAAAAAGAAATAAAAGGCTGGAAAAGAAAGAAGTAGAAATGTCTCTATTCCCAGGAAATATGTTTCGATAGAAAATCCTAAAGACTCTGCAAAGTAGCTTTTAAAACCAATAAGGGAATAAAGTTATAGTAATCAAGGCTGATAACATGACATTCCTAAGTATCCAAAGTTGTATGGCTCTAAACCAGGGAATGGGGGTGGGGGGCATTGTTACAGACAATGAGCAAGCAGGTGGAGCTGGAACTCTGGACCTGCTGTGACTTCCACCTCTGTCTCCTCCTTACTGCAGGCTGGCTGAAGGCGGTGCAGGTCCTCATGGTGCTTTCCCTCATCCTCTGTTGTCTGTCCTTTATCCTGTTTATGTTCCAACTCTACACCATGCGGCGAGGAGGACTCTTCTATGCCACTGGCTTCTGCCAGCTTTGCACCAGTGAGCACTGTTCCCTGGGAATTGAAGGGAAGGGAGGGAGCCTATGAGGATGCTGGGGGCCCTGAGAATGAACATCTGGTAAAAGGAAACAATTCTCAACAGCCCAAGAGTCACCTGAGGTGCCTTCATGGCACTTCTCTGCCCCCAGGGACTTACAGGGGTTGTTGTCTTCAGCGACTCAATGGTGGTTTGTGTCCCTGAGTTATGGGAGAGCTGGCATGGGGGGCTTCTGGAAGCCAGATCTGAGGAAGGTGGTGTGGGCAAATAATTTAACTCCCAGGGGACCAGGGTTGGGAGGAAGCAGGAAGAGGTTGCTAATTAGTACCCCAGAACTCTGAATCATAACAGTGGTGGTCTTGTAATGATAATGGCAGCCAGCTGCTGTTTCTGATGAACCTCCCATGTATCAGACACTTTAAGGAGTTTTATGTACTTTTCAATTTTTTGGCTTCAGGTGCAAAGGGCTGAGGTAATCACAGTCCTTGGTTCGGGGAACATTATCTTCCCAAGTTCCTGCAAAGCCCCTCTTTTGTTTTATTAATTCATTCTTTGCATGTTTGGCTGGTAGAAAGACACTCAAAAATATTCCTTGAAATGATGGATGAGTAGATATTATCATCCCATTTTTATGGATGAGTAAAGGTGACCCAGAGATTAAAGTGCCCAAGACCAGTTGGCAGTAGCCAGGCTGCAAGGCTTTGGGGAGCAAACCACAACTCCCAGCATGCAGTGGTGCTGCCCGCTTGCCCTCTGGAGGCTCCTTTGCCCCATGGGTTGCTGGGAAATACAGTCTTCTTGAGGGTAGTGCGTGACACTTGGTTCCCCTCTCCCCACAGGCCTGGCGGTGTTCACAGGGGCGCTGATCTACGCCATTCATGCCAAGGAGATCATGGAGAAGCATCCGCTTGGGGGCAGCTTCGGTTACTGCTTTGCCCTGGCCTGGGTGGCCTTCCCCCTCGCCCTGGCCAGCGGCCTCATCTATATCCACCTGCGGAAGCGGGAGTGAGCGCTGCAGTTTACCTTGCAGCCCCAGTCCGGTCCAGCCCCTTTGCCTCACCCCGCCTCCAGAAAATAAAACCGTTTAACCTCTGGCTCTGCCTTTGCTTCTTTCCTTCCTTCCTGGACCCAGACTGCCCGTGCCTGATCTCTCCTGAACCTCTGCCCCCAGTAGTTCAGCCTCAGAATGTCCAGCTCCAGGTCCTCTGGTCCTTCTAAACTCAGACACAGGAGCCCAGGGTCCTGAGACCCTGTGCCCTCCTAACTCAAGTCTCAGGATTCCTCTGGAGCGGAAACCTTCAGGCACTTCTGGGGAAGAACCAGGAGGCTGGATTTCCAGTCCTCCCTTTCCTTGCGCAAGGGTCTCTCTTACTCACTGAAGTAGGTTGGGCATGTGTGTTGTTGGAGATTGTTGGTCTCTCTCTTTCACTCAGACCTTCCTCTGCAAAGACACTTTTCCGTTTCCCTCCTAGAATGTATTCTTCCCTCATTACAACCCAACGCCCCTTCTTGCCTCTCCTCCCCCAATGCTGCCTCTAGCCCATTCGACACTGTAGTAAAAATTGAATGGCACCCCAGCTTTTCCAGGCTTACCCAGCCCCATGTGAGAACACAGGTAGCAAGAGGCTGGATTTTACTCTCATCCGTGTCCTGTGTGCCTTGTGCAGTGAACCTCCTCACGACTGCATGTGGTCTCCCTATCTCCCATGTACAAGAGACCTAATCTTAAAAAAACAAACAAACAAACAAAAAAAAACTAGCCTTTTGAGGAACTAACACCTCTTCTCAGAAATCAGGTTCTCTCTACAGCCCTCTTCTGTGACCCACAGCCAGTTTACTTCACCAAATACAAGCCCAGTCTCCCGAGGCTTTCAGCTTTCGCTGCTTGAGACCCACCCAAAAGCATTCCCCCAACACCCGGGGTCTCCTTTCCAGGACTCCGATCCCTTTCTCTCCAACCCCTGCAAACTACATCACTCATCCAGATTACTGAACATGATTTATTCCTTTGGGAGAGGGGGAAATTGATAGACCGATAAATATTGCACAGGCCACTGGTGGAGAGGAAAGATCCAGACTGAGGTAGTTTCTGTAGAAAGGGTGAGAGACCGGGGCAGGGAAGGCACCTGAGGTTGCTGGGCCCGAACGGAAGTGCGTCTTGGGGTGAGGATGATTCGTCCTGGCCTCCCGTTCCTGCTGGCACAAGGCTCCCAACTCCTTCAGCCTGGACAAGCAGATCAGCGGTTGACCAGATGGCCTGCCTTATAAATAGTGGCAATGAATAGATCAGGTTTCCTTTAGGAATTCTGATTGGTTGCTCTTCTGCAGCAACAACTGGCTGCCCAAAGTAGAGAGTGCCCAGAGGCTGTCGTTGGCAGTTTGGCTCTCATTGGCTGTGTGGGCTGGGGCTCTGCCTTGGTGAACATGACGGGCAGTTTGCCCAGAGCAGGCTAAAAAGACAATGATATATGGCCTCAGGAGGGCACAGCCTAACAACTGTGCCAGGTGGCTGGTAGTGTCCAACAGCTGTGATTGGCTGACACTCCCTCCTCAGCCGAACCAGCGCAGGGGGGACTCAAGAGATGAAATAGCAGCAGAACCAAAAATCTTTGACGGGCTGCTCACCAGAGAGGGTAGGGCTAGCAAACGTAGGATGTCTTGATTGGGGGCTTTAGGAATAAAGTGCAACATGCCTGTCATTGGAAATTGGGGAGCTGCAAAGCACAGTAGTTGTGATTGACAGCTGGTCATGGAGGAGAGGGGCTTAGTTTCTAACCAGGTGGCTGGGCGGGGCTGGGCAGAAAGCGGTTTCTGTCAGGGGTTGTCACTGCTGGGCACGGCCTTGGGGGAAGTGGTTGTAGACAACGAGTCTAGTTTCGTGAAACCCGGGGGCGGGCACGTCCCGATGCTGGGAGTTAGGGCTTGCAGGTGGCCCAGAGCCCGAGTACCGTTGAAGGTCACCTCACAGCCTGACTGGGCCAGGAGCCAATTCTCCACCTCCGACTGGAGCCACTGGGAGGTCTCTGCAGGGGAGAGGCAGGTGTTGTAAGTGAGGAGGATGAAGGGCGTGGGTTTGGGGGAAGCTCAGGGGTACACTGAGACTAGGAGAGTGGGACAAGGCCTGGTAAGCTCAGCTCTGGGGCTCTCACGTGGGGATGAGCCAGGAAAGGGTTTCCTGTTGGAAAGGGACCACCTGGAGTTTACAGAGGGAAGTGGCAAGAGTCTCTTATAGGGAAAGTGCGGGCTCCTATAGGAAGGAGCAAGCAGCGAGCGGGGCGCAAAGGCAGGCATGCCAAGCAGGCGTCTGATCCTATCCCCTACTGAGGCTGAGGTCAGGAGAGCTCATCCATCAAGATCGTAAGCTGGATTCAGGAGTCCCATCTGCTGAGGGCTGGGGTCACCTTGGAATTCACCACTGGGAGCTGGGTGTAGGGGGCGGGCAGCATGGGGATGATGTCTCACTAGGGCAGGGCTACTTGGGATTGAAGGGAGTCTCAACCCTGCAGTGACAGTGAGGAGTCTGTGGCAGGCGGAAGGGCGGGGGGCGCTCTGGTAGGAGCCCGCTAGGATGGGACTAGGCGGGGCCACAAAGGGGCAGGGCGGGGCCACGAGGGGCGGGACCTCGAGGGGTGGGGCCTCCTAGCACGCCTGGGTAGGAGTCGGGGTATCCCAGGGTAGGGTCCTACCTTCCGGCGGGCCGCCAGCGCCCCCTGGCCGCCGGGTCAGGAAGCTGTGCGCCAGTAGAGCTTCCTTGGCGTGCTCGTCCTGCGCACGCAGGGCCAGGGCGCTGAGCAGCTCTGAGTTGTTGGACGTGCTGCGGTAGTAGAGCATGTGCGCCAGCTCCAGCGCCTGCACGCTGCGCTGCTGTCCGAACATCTGCAGGTGGGACGGCTGCAGCTTGGCCACCCAGGAGGGGCAGGGCCTTGCAAGGACCCCATACACACACCCCTTGGACACTCACGCTGGTAGGGTCCTTCCCACGGACTCCCCGGCCCTCCCCAGGCCTCTGCGGTTCAGGTCCCAAGGACTGTGGTCCATTGCATTTTTAATCCACCCGCTCTCTCGCGCCAGTGACTCCGAGCCGAGGCTGTCAACAATATCTTGCGGCCGTTGCGCATTAATGGATTTATTCAAGGATTTCCAGTCCATGCACGCTTTAGCCTGGGACCTTTTTGTTACAATTATTTTTAAAGTCCTCTTCTTTTAGACACATACTACTATTTACAGGTGATGTGCCTAGGATTTGCTTCAAAATAATTCAGTAGTGAGAGAGCGGAGGTCTTCGGAAATGCGATTGACTATTGCCAACTGTGGACACTGGACCCTGGTTACCTGGCAGCTCATCGTACCGTTCTATTTCTGCATTTTAAAAAAATTTTCCCTAATCAAAAAGGCTTAAAATAGTAAACTGTAAAGAGAAGTACTAACAGACAAAAATGCATCATATACATATTTTTGCTGTGTATAGTGCGCACTTTTTTGCCCAAAGTTTTGAGGGAAAAATAAGGGTGTGCATTATAGGGCAGTACTAATTCTGTATCTATATAAATATTTTTAATTCTTTTATTTATGCTTATGTGTTAAAGGTGTAACCCCTTTAAAATTCTTTTATAATACAGAAAAACAAGCATCTAAATATAAATAAATAAACGCATAAAAAAATTAAAACGATGCCCTGCCTTTTGTGGCTCAATGGATTGAGTGCCGGCCTGAGAATCAAAGGGTCACTGGTTCGATTCCCAGTCAGGGCTCATGCCTGGGTTGCAGGCCAGGTCCCCAGTAGGGGCACATGTGAGAGGCAACCACACATTGATGTTTCTCTCCCTCTTTCTCCCTCCCTTCCCCTCTGTCTAAAAAATAAATAAAAATTTTTTTTAAGATTTTTTTCCCTGAAAGTTTGGGCCAAAAACGCGGGTGCATGCTATACACGGGAGCGCATTATACCCAGCAAAACAGGGTACTCAAAGGCAGCTTGGAGGGGAGAAGGAAGTGGGGTACGTCTGGGGCCCAGCTGTCTTTTCGCTGCACCCATCCCCACTCTTGACCTCCACCTGCCTGGACTCCTTTCCCCATTCTTGGTGTCCCTAAGGAGGGGAATGAGAGCCCGCTCATGCCCTGTGGGACTCGCACTAAAAACCTCCACCCAAATTCCCCCTTCATCCACAAAATAAGCTCAAGGCCGCGCAGGCCTGGAAGCGAGTCCCAGCTCTGCCCCCTATCGGCGACTACAACCTAAGCCCTTGGGCAGCGATGTCTGAAATGAGGCAGATGACAGGAAATGCTCAGGAGGTCGATAAACGGTTAATGAAACCCTTGGCACAGAGCCTGGGCCCTAAAAAGCATTTAAACATTAGCTACCACTGAATATTCATCTACACCCGGCTCCGGGCTTCCTTTTAAATACAAGCGTCGCGCCGCCCCCCCGCGCCCCCCCCCCCGCCCCCGCCCCAGGGAGTGCTGCCCATCTCACCGGGAGACCCAAGGTAAATAAACCGCCTCAGTCAACACATCCCTGAAAACCGCCGACACGGCTGGCATGGCACCGCTGACACGGCTCTGTGCAGACTGTGCTCTCTTTTTATAAGCCCAGCGCAGTCGGTTTATGTCCCTGCATCGGAACGAATCGCCATTCCTACGGCTGAAGGCGAAATGCGTGTGTTGGGGACTGTCTGGTATGAAAATACACTGGGCTCCGTGTCTGTCCCTGCCAGGCTGACAGTGTTGAATTCTCACAGGCTAAATGAGCAGGACATGCCACTCTACGGCACAGAGATGAGCGCAGACCTCTCCCTGGAGAGGGCTCGCTACCTGCCACCTGCACGTTCCCTCCAACGCCCACCACAGCCCACACTGAGTACATGGTCTCCCCTCACCAGGCCACCAGCCTGCTCCCCCCTCCTCCCCTGGGGTCCATATCTGGGGCAACCCCACCATCTGCCCAGCCGTAGGCCGACCCCAGGCGCCATCCTCACCTCCTCATACGCACCAGCCTGTCTGTTGGGCCCCAGCGCGGCCCTGCTGTCCTAACACTCCCTGCCGCCCCCTCGTCTCCAGCCTGCCTCGTGCATTGCTCCAGCCTCCTCCCTGACCCCAGTCTCCCTGTTCCAGTCTGTCCCTGCACAGCCCCAGAGGGGACCCTGCTCCTCCCCTGCTCAGGGCCCCTCCCACGGCTCCTGGGGCCCTCAGAGAGTCCCAGCGCCTCGGCCCTGCACGGCCTGGTCCCTGAGGATCTCTCCCACTCACCTGTCACACCTTCCTTCCCAACGCAGAACGTGGTGAACAGGCCAATTTACCCTGAACATCCCCCTGAGCACACCCTGTTCTCAGGCCTCTGGGCCTTGGAACAATCCAAGCCACCTCTGGGCCATTCTTAGAAAACTCACTGCCTCGTTGTCAGGGTTCAGGGTGGACATCGCTTGCCACAGATGAGCAGCTGTGTCCTTGGGTTCCTGAAGTGCCCACTGCAGTGACCTCTGTTAGGCACGTGGCAGTCTGTGTAACCTGCTCCACTCCCTCTGGGGCAGGACCAGCCCTGATGTGTCTCTGGGCGCCCCCCGGGCCTGCCCTGTGCTGGGCTGAGGAGACCCACAGTGCACTGGGGTAGGGCGGGCGCCCACAGATGCACCGTCCCTGCCCGCAAAGTCTAGAAAAGCTTTCTAGAGCCTGTGAGCTGCAGGTAGCGAGTGAGCAGGGCTGGTCTGCCCAGTAAGGAGGAAAGGACATTTGTGTAGGAGGAACAGCATATGCAAACGGAGAGAAGGGAAAGGAAGCATCAGGAAGAGGCACTACCAGTATATTCCGGTGGAGCTGAAGGATAGAACTGTGCCGGATGTAGCTGGGGACTCAGGGTCTCTGATACTCTGTTGTGAGCAGGGGAGCAGGCCCAGCCTGGGGCCATCGGGGCGGCCTGGAGGGGACCAGCTGGAGGCTGGGAAGAAGGTGTGAGCTGGGACTGGAACAGAGGAGAGGAGGCGGCACAAGGCCTCAGGGCGCAGCAAGGACAGGCTGGGGACTGACGGATTTGGGGGCAGGGTGAGGGCAACTTCCAGGGGTCTTGCCAGTGAGTGGGGGGGACAATGGATGGAGAACCAGGAGGAGGGGTGGGTGGGGGGAGACACCACGTTACACCTGGCCCACTTGGCAGCTCCAGGCTGAGCACAGAGCACCCCGACCTAGGAGCCGGAGGAGAGCTGCTTGGGGGAACCACGGAAGCGGGTGAGCTCTTCGAGGGCAAAGAAAGAGGGGTGTGCATCCTGCAGCCCAGCCGGCCTCCCAGGGGTCTGATCTGAGCGCCTGTCCCAGTGGGAACTCAGAGAAGAGGGGGGCTTAGGGAGGACGGAGGCTGGGCTCAGCGGGGACAAGAAACGTGATGAGGGTTTGGGCGACCCTGGGTGGCAGGTGGGACAGAGGCTTGGCGCCTGGGAGAAGAGCCTGCTGCGGAGACAGCCATCTGGGAGCGCCATGCAGGAGGGAACACATGTGCACAGGGAGGGGGCAGCTGGACTGAGGCTGGGAGGGCCCCCATGTAACGCTCGCGGGCTCAGCTCGGGGCATGGGAAACATGTAACGGATGCACTAAATTAACCTGCGAGCTGGGGTTTAAACTGGGCCCTTCAGAGGCTGAGGGTCATGCCTCTCATGGTTCCAGCCCTCCCGTGGTGCCCGCTGCCCTGAAGGTAAAGCCCGGGCCCCTACCTTGGCATGCAAGGCCCTTGCTACCCCTCTGGGGCCTCATTTCGCCCTGCACACTGGACGCCAGCCCTGGGAGTTCCCCCAAACCGTGCCCCCCACAAAGCCGTGCTCGCCGGCCCCTCCTCCACCAGGCTCAGTCCTCCCTGTTCAACACTTTCCCCAGTCCCGCCGGATCCCTGGTCCTAGGACTGGCTCCCTGCGCCCTGCGCCAGCCCTTCCCCCTCCCAGCCAGCAGAGCCTGGCTGTTATCTGCGGAATTTATTACCAGTCTTCCTAACAGCCCATCGGGATGGCTGAAAACAGCTTGAAAACCAATGAACCGGCAGTGAACGATGGCGTACAACAGACGCCTCCCGTCAGCCTACACTCCCAGGGCCAGGGCCCGCCCTGGGGGGAAATCAGTATAAAGCAGCCCCTCCGGGCCGACTCGGCATCGGGACAGGCACAAGGCTGGGCCAGCGAGGCACAAGTTGGGCGTCAGCCCCCACCTGGCCCCTCGCCATGAATCCTTAGGTGGCGAACAACCTCTACAAATGTCGGAGGCTGCCCTGCACTCACGTGTGGCAGAATCGAGAAGGAAGCGTGTTAAAAATAGTTTCCTGGGCCCCAGTCCCAAAGTTTCCAATTCAGTCGATTTGGGTTGGAGCCCGGGAGGCTGCATTTATAAAACAGCTCCCCTGGCCCTGACCAGATAGCTCACTTGGTTAGAGTGTCGTCCTCATACACCAAGGTTGCGGGTTTGATCCCTGGTCAGGGCACATACAAGAAGTCAACCAATGAATGAATAAATAAATGGGAAGACAACAACGACAACAGCAATACAGCTCCCCTGCTGCTAGCGACACCTGGCCAGGATGGGGAAGCCCACACTCAGCGGTCACAATAGCCCAGGTAGCGATAGTAATAATAACGGCAATAGCTAACTCTCACATAGTACCTTCTGTACTGTCTGGCTCTGTTCGGAGCACTGCATGTATTAATTAACGCAATCCCCACAACAACCCTACGAGTCACGTCCTATTGGCAACCCCACTTTGCAGATGCCAGAGCCGAGGCACAGAGAGGTTCGGCCTCTCATTCAAGGTCACACAGCTAGAAGACAGTAAAGCTCGCTCCGAACCCAGGCAGTCTGGTTCTGAAACACGCTCTTACCCGTCACTGAGCGCCTCTCCAAGAAGGCGCTCAGTGAGTAGCTGTGAACACAGAGGTAGCGCCTACCACACACCAGGCACGGCGCCTGGTGCTTTTCATGGATTCGCTCGTTGAATCTTCGCAACAAACCTCCGAGGTGGTCTCACTATTATCCCCATGACCCAGAGGAGGAAACTGAAGCACAGAGAGACCAAGCAACCTGCCTAAGGTTGTGCTGAGTAACTAAGGTAGGCGAGGGAGGGAGGGAGGGAGGAAGGAATGAAGGGGAAGGAAGGAAGGGAGGGAAGGAAGGAAAGAGAGAAAGAAGGAAGGGAATGGGAGGAGGGAGGGAGGGAAGGTATGGAGGATAAGGGAAGGGAAGGGAAGGGAAAGGAAGGGAAGGAAGGGAAGGGAAGGGAAGGGAACAAGGGAAGGAATGAAGGAGGAACCGCAGGCGCGTGGGGTGGCCCGCTTACCTTGGAGGCCCGCAGGCCCATGAAGGCAGCGAAGAACAGCAGCAGCAGGGACGTGCCCACCTTGAGGTCCGTGAGCACCACCATGCCCACGTTGACGAACACCGCCACGCCCGAGACCACAAGCGTGAGATTGAGCAGGGCGCGCTGCAGGGTGGGCGTGCGCACCTTCAGCTCGGGCAGCAGCTGCTCCAGGCCCTCCAGGGGAGTGTCCTTGAAGCTCTTCAGCACCAGGTGCCCCTTCTTCGTGCGGGCGGCTAGCACCACCCGCTTAAAGTATCTCCTGACAAATGGAGACCGGGTCCAGTGTGGTCAGGAGCGCCCAGGGAGCCCCCTCCATCCCCAGGACACTCTCTCTGGCTCGGCAGCCACACAGTCATTTGAAAGGCTGCTCAACCACGGTGGGAGGATGGTCAGGTATAAGCTAAGTGCCCAACATTAGGGGATCAGTAACATAACACAATCCCCTATTATTGGACACAGGGGGGGTGCTTCTAATTTTATGTACTTGATAAAAAGAGAGCTGAATGAAATTCTTTTGTTTCACTTTCAAATATTTCAGAGTGTCTGCTGGGCGCCAGGGAGCGCTACGAAGCTCTGGAGGGACCACACAATGAACCGGTCACTGCCTTTGTGGAGCTCGGAGTGCAGCATGAGAGACAGATAATCACACACACACTCTGCAAGTATAAATATCTCCTTGGAATAGAGTACTGAAAGTGGAATTACTGGTTTAAGGGCTATAATGGGTTCTTTGTTTTTGGTTTCTGTTCTGGTTTGGTTTTTTTTTTTTTTTTTGGATTCGTGACCATATTTGATAAACTGATTTCCAGAAAGATGGGGTAACTAACAGACCACTGGCTGATGGTGGGAAGATCTGGCTATCCTGGCCTTCCTCTGTATTTAAATATCCTCTGCTAAAAATATGACGTTTGCCCCAGCCGGTGCTCAGTGGGTTGGGCACCATCCCACAAACCGAAAGGTCACCGGTTCAATTCCTGGTCAGGGCACATGTCTGGGTTGCAGGTTTGGTCCCCTGTCGGGGTGCATATGAGAGGCAACTAATTGATGTTTCTCTCTCACATTAGTGCTCCTCTCCCTTTCTTTCTCCCTCCCTTTCCCTGTCTCTAAATTAAAAAAAAAAAAAATTAAAAATTACATTCATCAGAATCCTGGCTGCACCAATTTTTCAGAACGTGGCCTTTCCTCTCTGAGCCCAGTTTCCTTCGTTTGGAAAATGGGACAAATGTCCCTACTCTTTCTCTTCCCCTGGGAATAGTAGTTCCTACTTTCCCTCGGGAAGAAAAGGAAGCACTTTGATGATTCGTCCATCCCCCGTTTCTCGACTTCCCCCCCGGGCCCCAGACACCCAAGTCCGGACACTGACCTGGCAGTCCCCTCTTGACTCTAACCTTGCTCCCTTTCGCTGCAGCTGGGGAACAAGGGCCGCCTCACCTCTCCGCAGGGGACGACTTGAGAAAGAAGCGACGCTTGGAGCCCACGCTGGACTTACGAGGCATCTGTCCGACTCTCTGGCCCAGGGCCCAGAACTGCATGTAGATATACTGATCCAAATTTATTGTCACCTGCCAAGGGGGACAAAGGAAGCAGAGGCAGCTGAGCATGGGCTGGAGTGTAAGTGCAAGATACTGAAATAAGATGTCTCCCCCTAGTGATGCCGCCCCGTCTCCCAGGCCTGTCGGCACCCCGCGTCTGGGCAGGGCACCCATGTACGGTGGCTAAGGCTGTATAGTGTACAAGGACATACCGTCTAGGACGGCGCCATTCACACACTAGTCAGTGCTACTGCACTGCCCTGACTCTAAGATGCCACTGAGTTTAAGCTACTCCATTAGTTTATAAAGCAACTAAAGGAGAAAATATATTGCCAGTTAAACTATATCACACCACTGCTTATAAGTCACATCCCATTTCAGAGACAGTAAGTAGAGGACTTTTGGAAAAAGTACATCTTAAAAATCACAAAACAATGTGGAATTTTGGAAGAGTTCAGTATTTTTATTATAATTTGGTTGACTTTAAAAATGAGCATTTTAGCCCTGGCTGGTGTGGCTCAGTGGACTGAGTGCTGGCTTACAAACCAAAGGGTCGCCGGTTCAATTCCCAGTCAGGGCACAGGCCTGGGTTGTGGGCCAGATCCCCAGTAGGGGGTGCACAAGAGGCACCTTGAAGTTTCTCTCCCTCTCTTTCGCCTCTCTAAAAATAAATAAATAAAATCTCTTTTTTTTAAATGAGCATTTTGTATAATTTATTATTAGAATTTTCTGGCAGATGGCAATAAAGTGACCTGAGAAAGAGGTGCCTTTTTCTAATTCACCAAAGGTGCTACATGCGCTAGTATCCTGCATTCAAGACTATAACTCCCAGCATCCTCTGCCTCCCAAACGCCCCAACCCTGCCCCCAGGCCTCCTGGGAGTGTTGGTTCTCCTCTGGAAGACAGGTACCTGGACCTCATCCTGAGGGTGGTGGACCACCAACGCGTAGGCCAGGGCGTCCTCGGAGAGTGGGGAGAAGTTGGCCTGGGCCAGGAGGGGCTCCAGCGCCAGAAGCACCTCCTGCTCATTGGACAGACGCTGCGGGTCCGTGAGTGAGGGCTGGTCAAGGGTCTCCCTGTCGGGGTTGATGGGGTCATATAAGGCCTGAGGAAAGAGTCAGAGAGAAGAAAAGTAGGTTAGGTCACAGCATGCGGGGATCATGGGTACATTTCATGGTGTTCCTGGCCTGCCCTCTAAATGGTGGGGTAGCCCAGCGGTTGACTCTGGCCCCTCTTCCCTTCCTTCTCTCCAAGGTCACTCTAAGGGCATTCCCATGCCCCTAAACATCCTCTTTCCCTCTCTCTCTTTTTAAAAAGATTTTATTTATTTATTTTTAGAGAGAAGGAAGGAATAGGGGGAGAGAGAAAGAGAGAAACATCAATGTGTGAAAGAAACATTGATAGATTGACTCTAGCACACCCCCAACCGGGGACCTGGCCCGCAACCCAGGCACATGCCCACACGGGAATCGAACCAGTGACCTTTGGGTTTGCAGGATGACAAGAAAGGATGTTTAGCCTTGACTGGTGTGGCTCAGTGGAGTGAGTGCTGGCCTGCAGACTGAAGGGTTGCCGGTTCAATTCCTGTCCGGGCGCGTGCCTGGGTTGCGGGTCAGGTCCTCGGTTGGGGACATGCGAGAGACAACCGAGCGGTGTTTCTCTCACACATCAACGTTTATATCTCTTTCTTTCTCCCTCCTTTCCCCTCTCTCTAAAAATAAATGAAATCTTGGGGGGAAAAAAATAAGAAAGAAACCTCAGAGATATCTGGATTCCTTTCTTGGCATCACCCCCATATTCAGCCCTTCATCAAGTTCACTGGCTAAACCTCCGAATCACCCTTGACTCCCTCTTCCCTCCCATTTCGCTGCTACCTTCTCACCCAAGCCACCTTCGCCCCGCGCCTGAACACCTGCATCGGGCTTCTGCTCTGCCTGCCTCTACTCACGCCACTTCCAATCCACGCTCCACCAGGCCGTCACAAAGGGCCTTTTTAGATTATACACAGAGCCCACACCCTATCCCTCCAACAGCTCCCCACGCATTTGGAATAAATGCCAGAAAGCTTCCACGGTCCCTGTAGAACTCGCCTCTGCCTTGCCCGCCTCACCTTATCCACCCACCCCCCCACCCCCCAGACTTGTTGAATGTACGAGGGAGCTTCCAGCTGCCTAACCTATTTTACTCGAGGAGAGATTGAGTTTCAGGATGACTTATGACTGTCCCAGATCGAAAAGCGAGCCTCAGAGGGAAATCACCCGCCATAAAACAAGTCCCTAAACCCGCCCTCTGAGTGTCTCTCAGACGGGGCCTTAAGGCACAACCTGGTTAGGCCAGGCGTGACTTCAAATTAGTGGAAGGAAAGAGGAGGGGGTACTCCAAGGGGGGGGAACGGCCGAGCAAGGGTTTGGAGGTGGGAAGGCCCAGGGCTTCAGAAACAACCAAGCAAAGAGCCAAGGGTTTGGAGGTGGGAAGGCCCAGGGCTTCAGAAACAACCGAGCAAAGAGCCGGGCGATGCAGGGGACAGTCAAGCCCAGCTAATCCTCCCGAGTTAACTCCCAGGGCCGGGGCGTGCCAGCTGAGGACAGGACCCGAGGCCAAAGCGAAGGCCTGTGACAGCAGGTCCCCGACACTCATTCAGTGACCTTAAGAAATTCCATTTCCAGGGCCACGCTGCAGTTTGAGAGTGAGGGGATCTCACGCCTGGAAGAGAGAGAAACCTGCATTTATCAAATGTCTGCTGCGAGCCAGATTCTTTTCTGGGGATTTCATATCCACCGGGGCGTCGAGCCAGAAACCTGGATGTCGTAGGTGACCCCGGCTGCTCCCTCCCCTTGTTCAATAAATCCCCCCCACCCCCACCCCCGCTTCCACCTCCATGCAGACCACCTCACCCAGCCTGCTCCTCCCCGCCGGCTGGGCCGAATCCCCTCGGCACCCCCTCCCCTGCTAACCTGCTCCCTACACAGCAGCCGGGGAGAGTTCATCAAACAAAAACAGTAACAGTAATACATGAGACAGGTGCACATTTATGCAGCACTTACTACACATCAGGCACTATTTGAAGCACATTATACACATTCTCACCATGTGAGAGTGGTACCTTTGTTATCCTCGTTGACAGAGGTGGAAACTGAGGCACAGGGAAGTTAAGTAACTGCCTGAGTTCAGAGAGCCGGGAAGTGGTATATCAGGAATTACACACCCAACCTCGTCAGCTCCTGCCAAAACCCCTCTGAGGCTCCTGCCGCCCCTCAGGAAGGACCATCCTCTGCACACAGCCTGCAAGCCCACACAGGGGGCGACATCGCTACCCCCTTGGTCCCTTTCTAACAGCCACAGGGACTTTGCACATGCTGTCGGGAGATTCTCCCTGCCCGCCCCGCCTCCCCCCCCCCCCCGCCTCTTTCCCCTTCCACTACTGAGTTCCTACTCCTCCCCCAGGTCCCAGCTCCGGTGTCACGCCCTGGAAGCCTCGCTGCACCGCCCCGGGCCACCCGTGCCAGCTGGGCGGGGTGTGCCCTGCACTAGGGTGCCAGGTCTACGAGACTCCATTGTAGACGCCTGAGGCCTGTCCGTTGATCGCAACAGTCACCCTTTTGGACGGAAATAAGGGTACAGAGCAGCACCACCCACCAGAACTCCCTGCAGCGATGGCACCATCCAGGTCTGCGCCGCCCATTGGGCTGCCAACGGTCACAGGGCTACAGAGCGCTTGACACAGGATGGATGCAACCAAGGGACAGAATTTCAAAATCTTACTTAATTTCAATTATGCCAAACGTAACAGCCACATGTGGAGAGGGGCCGCGCTATTAGCCAGCTGCTGGCCCGGGAAAAGGGCGCTTTGTCTAATCTGCACACTGACCCTGGTACTGAAACTGAGGTCGGCTTTGTTATCCGCTCGCGTGGACTGTGCCCTTCAGGTTGACAATATGAACTTATCCATTCACTGGGGAAGAGCGTCTGATTCACGGCTGTCCCCACCACCTGCCACCAGCTCCCTGAGGGCAGAGGGCAGGGGGCAGGGGGCAGGATCCAGCTGGCTCCTCAGTGAAGCCCAGCACCTGGCACAGGGACTCACACAAACACCTGCTAAAAGAATGAACAATGTCCCTGGGTCTCTGTGGCCATCGTCACCATTTTCTATCCTCAAGCACCCCCTTGGGGACCTCAGATACCACCTGTCTCCTGAGGACTCCAAGGTTTGTATCGGGTCCGGATGTCTTTCCTGAGCTGCAGGCTCACGCAGCCGAGAGCCTACTCAACACCCCCACGCAGATGGCCCGCCGGCCCCTCGGTGCTTCCACACCGGGACCCAATGGGTGTCCTCTCAAAGCCACTGTGTCCCTTCTCTTGCCGTCCTCCCCAGCTCAGAAGAGGCCAAGGCCATCCTTCTAGGTGCTCAGGCCCAAAATCTGGGGTCGCCCTGGACACCGCTCTTTCTCACGCATTCAACTCCTCAGCAAATCCTGATGGCACCATGTTCAAAACAGACCCAGAATCTGACCACTTCTCAACCCCTGCCTGAGCCACCCACACCCCTTGGCCTGCTGTGGAGCCCAAGGCGGGGGCGGGGCTCCCTACTGACACCCTCCATCCCCACCCTGCTGTTCCCCACATGGTCACCAGAGGGCACCTGCTGTGATCTAAGTCCACTCACATCCCTCCCCTGCTCAGAGCCAACCCTTGGCTTCCACCTCATTCAAAGTTCTCCTGGTGTCCCACAAGGCCCTGCAGGATCTGGCCCCACTGCCATCTGTGTCCCCAGCTGCAGCCCTGTCCCCCTCACTCACTCAGCTCTAGCCCCACCGACCTCCTTGATGTTCCTCCTACACTCCGGCCACAGGGCCTTTGCACTTGCTGTCCCTACAGCTCTCCGCGTGGCTCACTCTCACCGCCTTCAGATCTCTGCTCAAACCCCAACCCCTCAGTGAGGACTTCCCTGCCGCCCTGCCTAAAATTGCAAAACATCTCTGCTTTCTTTTTCTCAGTAGTTAGCTACCAGATTTATGCAAAAATAAATACAATAAAATAAAATACAGGACACTAAGTTAAATGTGATTTACAGAGCAATGCCAAATAATTTTTCAGTTTAAGTGTGTCCCATGCAATATGTGAGGACCGTATTGCATGTGCATGGGACATAATTACACTTAAAAAATTACTCATAGCTCATCTGAAATTCAAATTTAACTGGGTATAGGAGGGTTGAATAGTGTCTCCTAAAAATTCATGTTCTCTCAGAACCTCAGAATATGATCTCATTTGGAAAGAGTCTTTGCAGGCGTAATTAAAGAAAAGCTTGAGATGAGATCATACTGGATAAGGCAGGCCCTAAATCCAATGACACTGTCCTGATAAGAGACACAAAAGGACAGACAGAGGCACAGAGAAGGCGGGGATGTGAAGATGGAGGTGGAGTGATGTGTCCACAAGCCTAGGAATGCCGAGGATTGCCAGCAGCCACCAGAAGGGGAGAGAGAGAGCTGGGACCATCGCCCCCTGAGAGCCACCAGAGGAAACTAACTCCGCCCCCAGCTTCTGGACGCTGAGAGAAGACATTTCTGTTGTTGGAAGCCACCCAGTTCCTGGCAATTTGTTATGGCAGCAGTAATGAATGAATACACGAGGCATCCCGTACTTTACCTGGCAACCCTCTCCTTAGCACTTGGCATCTCTTAACGTATTTTCCTCCTTTATTTTGTTGAGGGTCTGGGTCCTTCACTAGGATGTGACCGAATGAGGCAGGCACAGCCATCTATCAGGCGCACTCCTGTGTCCCAGAGCCTGGAGCCATTCAGGGCACACAGTGGGTACTCAATAAACATCCGCTGAGCAAATTCAGTGAACGAATGAATAAGGGAAAGGAGGAGCAGAGAGAGAGGTCACCTGCCAAGGTCACCTGCATGACTAAGGGACCAAGGCTAGCTTTTGAACCAGGGCAATTCATTGTTAGCATAGACTATCCAGTGTGGCCCAAGGCCTGGGTAAATCAAGACACTCTTATTAAGCAAGACACTCGAGGACTTAGAGGTTCCCTCCCAGAAGCCTATCAATGGCCAGTCTTTGGTTTGAAACGCACAGGACATTTTTGTTTGGATGACCCAGGTCCGCCGAGTTAACCCTTCACTGCATACCGCCACGTCCTCCCGCAGGTCCCCTCTTGGCTTTGAACAACAGCAATGGACAACGGCCTCTCCTTGCTGACTGCTCACCCTGTGCGGGGCTCACTGACTCCTTCCTGCAATCCCTGGGGCAGAACTTGGAGGCAGGTGCACAGGGGCACCAACCCTGGCTCTGCTGCTTGTGAACTGTGCCATCCGGGGCACGTCGGGGCCCTCCTGGGGCTTTGGTTTCTTCCTCTGCAAATGAGGCTGATGGCGGCTGACCTCTGGCGGGGCTGGAGACCGAGTAACTAGGGCAGCCATACAGGTGGCCAGCCAGGCCTATGTGAGCAACCTCCAGCAAAAACCCTGAGCACAGCTTGGGTGAGCCTCCCTGGTTGGTAATACTCCTGTGTTGTCACATAGCATTGGTGGGGGAATTAAGTGCTGTTTGTGTGATAATAGTGGGAGAGGACAATTGGCAGCTCTCGTCTGGTCTCTCCTGAACGCTGCTCCATTGCCTTTTTCTTTTGCTAATTTGTTCACTATCCTTTCACTATAATAAACTATTACTGTGAGCATAACAGCTTTCTGTGCTCTGGGAGTCCCTCTGGAAAATCAATGACTGGGAGAGTGGTCTTGGGGACCCTCAACACAGGCAGGGCCCAGGGAGGAGACGGAGGACGAGGCTAAGAATTTATCTTCTGATACCACTTTCTCCTGGGGTTCCACCTCTCCCTCCAGCTCCTCCTTGTCCACCTTCCTCCCCTGTTCCAGCCCGTGTTCCATATCTCAAGGCTGGCACATGCCAGGGTTCAGCTCATTCCCCTCATAGGACCGTTTAGTATCATCTAGATCCTTCCAGGGTTGCTTGTCAGCCCAGACCCCTCCCTTGACCTCCAGACTCCACATTCAAGTTCCTATCTCTACCTCGCTGGCTGATAGGCAGCTCAAATTCCTAAGTCCAAAGCTGAGCTCTCAATCTTCACTGCAGATCTGCCTCCCGCCCCTGCAACGTTGTCCTCCACATCTCAGAAAACCGCAGCTCGGTCCCTCTGAGGGAGCGGGCGGGAGGCCCCTGGAGGCACCGCAGACTCCTCTCTCCCTCGTCACCCTGCCCGCACAGCCGAATGCTGACGCCTTCCAACCATTACAGCATCTGACCACTTTCCACCACTCCCGCTGCTATTAGTCTTGTCGGAGCTGCCATTACCTCTCGCCTGGACGAGCATAATAGACTCTGTGCCAGGCCTCTCTGCCTCTGACAGTCTGTTCCCTACACAGCAGCCAGAAGGAGCCTGTGAACACCTAAATCAGCTCACCTCCCTCCTCCGCTCAGAGCCCTCCCAGGGCTCCCGGCTCACATAGAGTAAAAGCGAAGTCCTCACCACAGCCCACGAGGAGAGGCACAAATTGCCCCCACTCCCTCTTTGTTCTCTCCCACTCTCTCTCCGCCGCTCACTCCCCTACAGCGACAGGGGTCCCTTTGTTGTTCCTCCAACACTCCAGGCCCTCTCTCACCTCAGGGCCTTTGCACTTGCTTTTCCTTCTGCCTGGCATGTCCTCCCTCTGGCAGACTAACTCTCTCTTTTCTCGTAATCCTCAACCAAGGATATGTTCATTAATTTTAGAGAAAGAAGAAGGGAGAGAAAGAGAGAGAGAGAGAGAGAGAAACATCGATGGGAGAGAGAGAAGCATTGATCCAGTGCCTACCTCCCTTTCACACCGTGACCAGGATCAAACCAGAAACCCACATAGGGGCTCTGACCAGGAATCAAACCCGCAACCTTTTGGTGCACAGGATGAAGCTCCAACCAACTGAGCTACCTGGCCAGGGCAGCACTCTCCCTCTCTTCACCCAGGTCCTAGCTTCCCTGTCACCTCCTCATCCGAGAAACCTTACCTGACTACCCCGCCTAAAACAGGCCCCATCTCATCCCTGTCTAATCTGCTTCAATCTCTGCTTCATTGTTCTTCACAGCACTTATCACTCCTGGGTGTCATATTTCTCATTTATTTATTGTCTGCCCAACTGGAATGCCGGCTCCCTGAGGGTATGACTTCATCTGTCCTGTTCACTGCAGCATCCCCAGGGCTTAAAACGGGGCCAGGTTCCCCTGAGGTGCTCAGAGAACTTGTGCTGAGTGAATGGATGAGCAAACCAGCACGACAGGGTGGGAGGGGCCCGTCCTCACCTGCAGCCGGGTCAGGATGTGATGGTAGTGGAACAAGGTGCAGAAGTCCACGTGGGCCGAGAACTCCTCCAAAGCTGCCTTCTCCACAGGACTGGAGTGGAATTCCTGTCACCTCAGGAAGCAAAACTGCTCTTTAGGCCTCCTTCCCCTTCCTCACGGGGAGGAACTCTTTCCCCGGCAGCCCTTATAGTCAGGGCTCTGGTCTTTTCAAAATGTTGTTTTATTTGAGGGACGGTGTCAGTTTTATTAACCAAGCAACTGAGGTAACCTGGCATAGTGAAAAACAGATTACTGAGAGAGCTGGCAGTTCAAGTTCTTACTCTGGCACTGACTTGCCAACGTTCCCACGGCGCTTACTGTGCACCAGGCACCGCCTGCCCACATGCTGTCATCCTCCCTCAAGAGATGCAGAGGCCGAGGGAGTTATAACCTCTACTTTTCAGAAGCGGAAAATGAGGCTCAGGGAAGTCACCTGCTGAGGGCCACAATGTCCAGATAAAGAGAAACTGAGACTCCAGTGTAGGCCCGTCTGACTCCAGTGCACACGTATTTAACTAATTGTTATGCTTGTCACTTTCCTTCTCCTCTTCAGTGCCCCCATTTATAAAATTGGGATGATGGTGGTATCTCTCTTGTTGGGTCGTTCTGGCGACTCAGTGAATATATGGAAATGCTTAGTGCAGTGCTGTATTGTAAGAGCTCAAACACTGTGATAATTATGGTTATAGCTTCGTAGGTATAATAATTATTATTAGGTAGTACTAAGAGTAATGATGATGACTATTATACCCATTTTACAGAGGGAAAAACCATGTCCCAGAAAGTGCTTGTTAAAGCCCTCAGAACAAGCTAGAGTCGGTAATCGCGGCTATATTTGCATCTCAGAGGTCTTTCTATTAACATGCCAACTCACTTCCCGCCCACTTGGGACTGCGAGGGGAATGAGAACTACAACTCCCAGGAGAGGCCAAGGCAGCCCTCTATAGCATGCAGGGCGCGGCCGCCGCAAGGCCTGCCGGGAGTCGTAGGCCCCAGGCCCTTGGACCCCGAACGGGCGGTACCTGTATCAGGAGGCGGAGCAGCTGCTCCCTGGAGAATGGGATGAAGCGTTCGCGGTACTGCTGCGCCCAGTCGCGGGGCTCCGTGGGGTTCCACATCTTGCGGTACTCTCCCATCTTGGCCGCCAGCGAGGACAGGGCCCGGGCGGGCCCGGGGACCCCAGGCAAAATGAGCCATCCTCGGACCCGGGATCCGCAGACCCCCCGGGTCACATGCAGCATGGCCAGTCTCTGTCCCCGGAGCCTAAACGAGGGGAATGGGTAGGGGGTCAAAGGACATCTGGGGGAAAAGCGATTTCTCCACCTCCCCGTCTCAACCTTAAGGAGCTGTCTCTACCCCAGGCGGGGTGCAGAGCCCATCCGCCCGCCTCGTATCCCTTCTTGTCATGCTCCTCCCCACACTGCTCCGTTGACCCGGGTCCAAGGGAAGGGTCAGGGGTCTTAGGTCCTGGGGAGTTTTGAGGCCCAGACACACTGTAGTGGTACAAATGGTTTCTGCGGGATCTAAGCCAGGAGGTGGGTATTAGGAGCATAAGAGGAGCTCGGAAAGGCTACATAGAGGGTGCAGGGCCGCCCTCCCCTGGCCATGCAATCCCCCTCCCTACCCTCACCTTAGCCAACGCTGGACTGTCATTGAGCCTCCTGCGCATGTGCAGGCGGGCGTCCTGGACCCCCGAGGCTCGGCTTCAGCCAACAGTAGGACGCATGCGCAAAACCTGGGTCTCTGATCGCTGTTCCTGTCTCATGCCATCTCAACTGCGCACGCGCAATTTGCCTGCGCGTCTCCACTAGAAGCCTTGAGGGCGCAGCGCATGCGCAGCAGGAGTGTCTCCTTGGCCGCGTGCTTCAAAGAGAAGGGGAGGGAGCGGGCGCGGGACTCCAGGGAGGGCTGGGGCGGGGTAGGGCTTCCGCGCGCAGCCAGCCAACGGCGGCCAGCCCAACGTCCGCTGTGGCCACGCCCACGCCCGTGACTGCTACTGAGTAGGCGGGAAAAGAGGGGGTGGGGGGGTTGGGCACAGCCAATCAACTGTGGAGGAGCGAAAAGGCGGGAAAACGCGGAAGCAAAAGAAGTCTGAGGTGGCGCCAGGGACCAGGATGGGGAGGGTGGGCGGAAGGAAAAGCGGGCCCCCAGGTGACGCAGGCCGGGCCTCAGACTAGGCACCCCTTTGTCAGGAAGCGTCCCCCCCGAGGTCTCACCATCCCCACTACACGTCCTTAAAAGGAAGTCCCTGATTCTAGGAAGGTAGCCTAGTGCCCGGAGCATGGCCTCCTCACTCTGAGGGGACAGCTCTGTTCTCAGCCCATGTCCCCACTCGTCTGACGTCCAGACCCCCCAACTTGAGGAAATGCTGAATTCCAAAGGGAGGCTTGTAGTCTAAGGAAATAACCCCAAGTCACAAGGTTATGCCTGGGCTCTCCATTATGGGCGCTGTCACCCCACACCTGAGAGGGATTCTCCTGGTTCAGATCTGCCAGGGGTTCTGATCCAGCACCTCTACTCCCTGGAAAATGCCACTTGTGTCCTCTCCCACGGAGAACACAGGCCTTCAAAGGGGGCCCCCTGGCTCCTGGGTCCGGGACGTGAACCCACTACCCCAGCCCTCTCTCCACGCCGTCTCCCTGCCTGGGATTTCCTCACCCAGCACCCCTAACTCTCCCCGCAACCCAGCTGCCCCCTCACCGGGCGACCCTACCTCTACAATTCTCAGGAGCCCCCTTACCCTGTACCCCAACTCGTAGGATCCTCAGCAACCCTCTCACCCTGCACCCCCACCTCTGGGACCCCCAGCAGCTCCCTTACTCCCTGCCCTGACCCCCAAGAACCGTGCCAGACCCTGCGCCTCACACACCCCATTCCTGGGGACCCCCCAGCACTCCCCGATCTCATGCCCCTTACGCCTGGGACCCCCGGAAGCTCCTTCACCCAGGACTCTGACTCCAACCTCCCACCGCCCATCTTGTCTTTCAGCAGCCGAGCCCGAGGGTGGGTCTGGAGCCTCTGGAAGAGAGCAGAGCATCGCTTCCCCCGCCTCCCAGGGCTCCAGAAGCGGGACGGCCGCCATGCACATCCCCGAAAGCCTCCAGGAGCTGGCGGACAGCGAAGCCGTGCGGTTCCTGCGGAGGCCGAGGACGGTCGCGAGGATCTTGGCAGGGGTGAGGCCCTCCTGTGGCCCAACCGCCCGATGGGTGACAGGAAACAGGAGGTCTTGCCTCTCAGATACAGTGCGCGGGGAGTGGGGGACAGGAAGGGGCCGGGTGGGCAAAAAGAAGCCAAAGGAAGCTAATAACTGAAGTCACCATTTACGGAGCACCTAACTCTAGGCCCCGTCCTGAGCTAGTCCGAGCACTAACTACTGTCATAGGAAGAAACGACGCTTCATAATAGGTGCTATGAGCCCCGTTTTTGAGATCAGAGGACTGAGGCTCAGAGAAGTTAAATCCTTTTCGTAAGGCTGTGCTGTCTAAGGGGGTAGCCACAAGCCGCAGGTGGCTCTTTCGATGTGAACTAATTAAAATATTCTGTTCCTCGGTCGCATTTCAGGTGCCCAACAGCCACATGTGACTGGTGGCTCACCTCCTGGGCAGTACAGATCAGACCCAGAACATTCCCATCATGGCAAACAGGTCCGGCCAAGGTCACACGGTAGAGGCAGGGCCAGGACTCAGGCTGGAGTCTGTGAGGCGCCAAAGCCTGTGCGTTTTCCACCTTTCAGACAAGGGACTGGGAGAGGCGCAGGGGCGGGGTCCTCTAGGAAGAGAGTGGTCCACAGAGGCGGGGAAAGGACATCCAACATAGGCCTAAGACACCAGATGGTGGGTAGCCACGGCGCCAGGCACTGTGCCAAGCAAGGGCTTTACAGGCACTCGCTTAATCATCACCACATTCCCGAAGAACCAAGACACCTAGGTTCAAATCCTCATTGAGCCCAACTTTGCTGTGTGACCTCGGGCCAATCGCTGCTCCTCTCTGGACTTCGGTCTCTGAGGGGTTGGAGCTGTGACTCTGGGCTTTACTCTGTGCTGCCTCCATTCTCCTCCGACAGAGTTGGAAACTGAGGCCCAGGGAGGTGATGAGGCTTGACCGGGGGCATGGGAGTAGGTGGGGTGCCCTGGATCAAACCCAGGGTCCTAACCTGGAGCTTCCCCTTCCTATCTCTCCTGGAACCTGTGGGCAGAAGATCAAACAGGCCTGGCTCAGGAACCTGGCTCAGCCGCATGCTGTCCACGTGCGGTGACGCTCTTCAGCGTACCTGGGCCAGGCCTGGCGTCATTATCAGTAGCACTAGCTTTCACTCTCAAAAGTGCCCCGTTTTGTTTGATAACTTACTGAGTCACCCTGTGTCTGTGTGACTTGGAACAAGTGACTAGATTTCTCCAAACCTCTGTACCCTCATGTATAAGAGGACTCTGATACCTTGTTCACAGAAGAGATGGTTGTGAAAATGAAACATGGAAAGTTAATGTCCCTAAACGGATTAGCATGGGCCTGACACATGGTGAGCTTTAGTTAAATAGCAATTTTTAAAAAAATCCTTACCCGAGGATATGATTATTGGTTTTAGAGAGGGAGAAGGGAGAGAGAGAGAAACATCGATGTGAAAGAGAAATGTCGATCGGTTGCCTTCTGTATACGACGTACGTATGTGCCCTGACCGGGAATTGAACTGGCAGCCTTTTGGTGTACGGGACAATGCTCCAACCAACTGGGCCACCCAGCCAGGGCTTATATAGCAGTTACTATTGGGACAAATCATTACCTGTGAGCGAGGAGAGAGGTGGGTTTCGGGGTGCCTAGGGTGCTGGGGACTGATACCCATTGTCACGCTCAGCCAGGGGGAGAAGGGAATTCCACATCCTAGTTTCAGGTTCCTCACCGATGTTAGCTCTTCTGCTCTGCACCACGACCCTATGACGTGAGCAGTGTCACCCCTGGTTGACCCAAGGAGAAACTGAGGCTCACAGATGTTGAATGACTTGCCCAAGGGCATCATCCAGCTGGCAAGTCAGAAGGATCTACATGCCTCCAAAACCTGGGAAGGAAGGGCGGGTGGCGAGGGAGAAGGCCCAGCTGGTGTGGACTGGTGTGGGGAAGGGGGAGGGAAGGGCTGCCGACTGTGCCAGAAGGCTCGGTCACAGACTTTGCCCACCGCCTGCATCCACCCGCCCTCCCTCCCGACTCTCCCCTTCCCCCCTGGCCTGGCTCCTCAGTAGGGACTCTCTGGGCAGCTGGTGCGCCTGTCTTCACTGCCGCCTGCCAGCTGGTGCCTTAACTGATGAATCTTTGCTCCTTCCCTGCGGACAGGCCAGAGAGGGCGTGGAAGGCAGTTTGGACTCAGGCTTCCGAGGGGTGGGGTCCCTCACGCCCAGCTGAGCCTCCTCCCCACATCTCCAGTGCCACAGCCCAAGGGTTTGGGGTCAGTGGACAGACAACCCGCCGGCCTAGACGTTGGGAGGGCCGGATGCCAACCCCCTCCCCTCCACAGACTGGCCTTGAGAGGACAGTCCCTCCCCTCTCTGGGTGACTGGGGACAAGTACCCTTAGGGCCTGGCCTCTGCCCCCACACGCCCCCTCTTCACAGCAGGGAGACACCCTGGGAAACTGAGGTTTCAAGAAGGGAGTGATTTGCCCAAGGCCACACAGCTGGTGGAGTCAGCCGTGTCTGGCTCTTTCCACTCCACCGTAATGGCTTCGATTTATCACCTGTGAAACAGAAATGACTTAGTAACATCTAGCGTGTGGGGCTGCTGTGAGGCTTTAGGGAGGTGACGCAGGTAAAATGAATACAGGCTCAAAAATGATCGATGGGCCTGCTGGTCCTCGACCTGGCTGTGCCTCAGACCACCAGGGCAACACGCCCCCCTTCTGCGGACTCGGGCCTTCCGCCCGAGAGGAACCGAGGCAGATAACCTTGATTAATGCGAGCCTGCTGGACAAAAAGGGGGACTCGTTGTTGTTGATGTTGTTGTTGTCACTCAGAGAAGGCAAATCAGACAAAGGATCGAGGAGGGACAGAGGCCGAGGGGGTTGGAGGTCGATCCTTTGCCTCCCCAGTCCCCATTCTGGCGCTCAGGGCAAGGACAAAGAAGGAAGGCCCAAGGTCATTCCCTCTTTCAACATGCTCTTGCTGAGGTCTGTTTCCGTGCTCGGGGTAGAAGAGCCCCATGCGGACCCTGTCCAGAGGAGTTCATATTAATGGGTTCCCCTTCCCCTTCCCTGCTCTCTGACTCCGGGCCCAGCACCGCCGCATGAATCAAGCCCACACTCCAGTTTTATGTCCTAAATATCACACTCCCCAGAGCCCCAGCCTCAGCCTGGGCCTCAGCGCTTCTTGCCTGGGCCTTCCCACCAATCTCTTGGATCTGTGGCTCCTTGTCTTGCCCGCCCCAAACCATCATGCCCTTGGAGATTGGCTCTAACTCCCAGGTCAGAACCTGGCCGTCCTCTGTGCAGAACCCCTCCATGCATGTAATTAAATCCAGATACGAAATTTCACTTTCATGGCTCCCAAGACCAGGCCCCTCGGTCTGGTGGTCAACCCTGAGAGTCAGCCCCCGCCCGTTGGCCCAGCCTCCTCTCACACCAGATCCCTCCCTGAGATTTCTTTCCAGCCCCGGAAGGAGCCCCACTCTGTAGCATCTGGCTTTAGGCACACGCCGTTCGTCCTGCCCCGAATGCCCTTCCTCCTCTGGCTGCCTGAAAAA